CCACCCCCACCACTACTGCTACTCCTACTACTACTAATATTACTATATACTGTAGGTGCTACTGCTACTACTACTACATGTACTTCTGATACGTCTACTACTACTTAGATGACAACACTGACCGTACGATGACGACGAATACTACTACAGTTTACTACGCGTACCCCTACCGTCACCACCACCTTAACCATCACCACCAACACCACCACCATTACTGTCATCATCACCACCACCAGATATTTAACTTTTTCATCTCGAAATCAAATGTTATTGCAAGTACTCAAGTTTGGCTGAGTGAAGTAAAATAACAACATATTGATAAAAATATATATCATACATTATATATTGTATTTCCTATTTCATTTTTTTTTTATCAACAGAACCTGGCTCGTCAACTCTTCACCACCGTGAAAAACGCCATGAATTAACTTTTAAAGGTAAACTAATAATTGTAATTATAAATTTTGTTGCTCTAAAAGCTTTACAAAATGATTTTAACAGTTTGGTCATGATTGTCAGCATGCCAGCTGGTCCCAACCGCGCTAGAAGTTAGTGGGGGTCTCGCTATCACTAAGGATCGCGCCATCACTCGGCCTAACGCTTATAGTCGGCGAATAACAAAAATTAATGTAGGGTCCAGAACTAGACTACTAGTTCGGTATTAATGGTATGTTAGTGGTAAGGGCAGGGGGGGGGGGGGGGGGGGGGTGTTGGAGATGGATAGAGATTTTAATTTAAAAGTGGGGTGGAACGATAAATATAGAAGAAATGATAAGCAGGACGTATAAATAGCATGATTTACAAGGCAGCGAAAAAAGAATTATATGCTACCAAAGGAGCATACTAATCTCTCTCTCTCTCTCTCTCTCTCTCTTCCTCTCTTTCTATTTCTTTCTCCATCTTTTCCTCCCCCACCTCTCCCCTTCTTTCTTTTTATCCTTCCCTCTTTTCTCCCCCCCCCCCCCCTCTGTCTCTCCCTATGTCTCTTTTCTTTTTTTTTTACAGATGGTTGCAGTAGTCACACTACAAGCCTTGCGATATCCTATTTCAGCATACTCCTTCGTCATATAACACGTGCGGTCTAGATAAAGTATATACCTCTGACCATCTGATAATAATTGTGGAAGGGAGCAGGCAGGCTGACCCAATTTTTTTTTTTTTTTGGGGGGGGGGGGGCGGGGAAGGGGCAGGAGATAGAGATGTTACACCCCACATGCAAAATCTCTGTCAGCAAATCTCAAGTTATTCCTGCATATTCGTATTTCGATAGTACGCCCTCTCTTGTTACTTTAGCTAGTTCTTTTTCCCCTATTTAAGACTACATCATCTAAATGTTATATTATAGATTATCCATATTATTTTTTTGTGTTGGTGGTCTATTAAGACTTTCTGTTTGGTCAGTACTAACAAATGATAAATCACATTGGTATTGCCAAACAGATTATGTAACAGAACATTGGAAATAAAGGGTAAAGAGTCAAGAACAAGATATATAATAAGCCAGTTCGTAGATGGGATCTTCGCATGGGTTGATACAAGTCATTTATACCAAAATTGCAAAACCGTTCAAGACCAATACTGATAACGTGCTCATGAAAGTTATGGAATCACTATTAAACTATGCACCCGATTGTACGTTCTACTTGTTCTATATATGGAACACAGGTTGAAGTATTATTTTCAAGAAGGCAAACAAAAGGTTCCAATAAAACACCTCCATAGCTTTCGCAGTGATTATTTTAAAATGCACAAAGTGGTACTGCTCCATTTGTGAAAGATCTTTGGATATTTTGGGTCATTTGAACTATTTACTAATTACGAACGGGTCCATTCTGAAGTGTTGCCATTGCAAAACAAGATGCCATAAAACACTGTCCATTACAATGTAAAAAGTGTACACATGCATTGAGTTGATTTACTGGCGTATGTGCGAACTCCCTCAACATGCTTGAATAGCGTATGCAACAACGCAATTGAAATGGCGCCTAATGAGCATGTTGTATCAGTCAATAATTAGGGGCGTGTACTCCTGAGTCTTTCACAGTATAACAAGTCATACAGAAAACGACATAATATTTCGCACACGTTGTTGACGTTTGTCATGCTTTATTGATTGCTACCATTCATTCCCGTAATTATAATTGTGGGACATAATTGCTTTTTTTCTAAATAATGCTCAATGAATATAATAATAATATATCTCTATCCCGATATCTAGGCACATATAGGCTTATTTCGTTTGTTTTGTTTTTAAATTTAATGCTTAACATATAAATTATATTTTTTCTAATCTAGTATAATAACATAAGCATTAACAAGTCATGAATCATCAAACGGATACACGAACTATTCAACTATTGTAATATTATACAGTAGACGTCGTACTTTTAACCGCACATAACCATCATAACATAGAATATACATTTTTTTTTCTTGTTCAAAGAAGCGAGCTGAAAAATCCAAGGCCAGTTAATGACTACTACTACTTGTACTACGATATTTACGCGTGCAGCTACAAGTATGCCTTCTTATAAACTGCTTACAATCAATCGTAAGTATACACAATGACAGTCTAAATATAGTAAAGCCTCTCTGAAAGGGGCAAAAATCCTCGACATCTCGACATACAGCAAAATATCACAATACCTCCCAGGGTTGTACCGCAGGGTTCTATTTGAGATGTTTTCGCTATTTTTTTAATATTTTTTTTGGTCGAGTAGGGAACAATTGCAGATACGGTATTAACAAATTCAATAATCATTCAGGGCAAATGATCCGAAAATTTCAGCGACCCGTTCACTTCCCAAGCCAGTCTGGCTTGCATAGAAATACAACAAAGAAATAGGAATATAAAACCGCTTTTTTATGGCAACAGGTTGTGTTAAGTATGGATGTGTATTACTCTATTCAGTCTAGGTCAGGTCCAAGGTATTTACGCCCCGTACGGAATACCTAGTATCAAATTTTAGAAGCACAATGGCTAAGTGATAGAGCATCGGTCTGGTAACCGGGAGGTCCCGACTTCAAAACTGAGTCGATGTGCCAGTGCCCTTGGGTAAGGCAATTGATCCTCATTAAAAGTCCCTCGGAGAGGACCTAAAGCCTTCGGTGCCCTAACTGATTAATTACAAGCATACATATGCTTACTTTAATAGCAGTCAGGTAAAACAAACTAGTCAAAGCATATTCGTTTAATGACAATTTTCAAATTATCAGGAAATACAGAACATGATCAACTTCAAAATAAAAAAATCTAGGCATTTGGTTTTATCCAAGATAGGCTTATAAACGTAATCATCAGGTTTATAAGATATGTGAGTGGTTGATAACGTATGGGAACATACTTTTGACTTGTCTATGATTATCGGTTATATGTTTTAGAACAGGTTAAAATACAAACGTAAACAACAATTGAACTGTACACTGTATATTTAATTGTTTCTCCATTTTTAATCATATATGCAATGTTTGAAATCATGTAACAAAATAGAGCCGGCTGTTAATACCTATCAGTTTGTGATATTCTATGTTTCAGAAAGTTATCAGTAATGTCATGTAACGGTACGAGTTGTAATATGACTACGCTTTTAGGGTTTGCATGATGGACAATGGCAAAGGCTATATTGATTGTTGAGTGAATACAATTATTAAGATTAACAATGAAATAATATATAAAATCAAGTCATCATCATTCCATTCCATACGAAATAGTGAGTAACCAGTGGTCATTTCATAAGTATATCGAATAAAAATAGTATCTTGGTGCGATCACCTGTAGAATGCGATTAAATTTGAGGGTAAACACACCATACCTGACACCCTGCAGTATGTGAAGACAACTAACTGAACATATGTGCTGTACAATACCAAACTCAATACCAAACTCGAATCAGTGGGCGAAGGCAATGAAGCATTAAGACGTGTATTCAAACAACACTATGACCAAAATATGCGAAGGAATTTCGAATGGGGATCATGATGATTGGTACATGTACACTGGCGCCATAAATTTTGAATAAATTGTGTTGCCCCTTTAATGAAATGATTATGACAATTTGATCTTTTCTCTGATAGACAATCTTCACAGAACTTTATTGATCATTCTAAAAGGTCATAGAGATTGTTCGATAAAGTTCTGTGAAGATAATCAACCATCTATGAAGAATAAATCATGTTGTCACAATCTTTTAAGGAAAAGAGGTTAACAAAAAATCATTCAAACTTTATGGGAAACATTATACACATTTTATACAAAAAAGGTGTATTAAATTTAACGGCCAATTAAACACCAATTTAAGTTTGGGAGTGAAAAAATAAATCTTAAACATTCATGGAATTCGTTAACCATGTCATCATCTTGAGAATATTGTTATTCTTCTGGAACTGGCTTCTAGATGTATTCATGTACCACGTGACTCAAGTTGTCTATAAATCTGTTCATTTATTTTAATCGTTTTGTTAGTGGATTGCCAATTAAATGTTATTCTTGCACACAAGCTTTCCTGGCTTATTATTGTGATTTATTTTAGCATGCATTACGAATAAGTTATGCCAATGATCCAGTAAAAATAATGAGATCGTTGCTAGATCGTCAACAGACCGATAAACATTGCATCACACACAATATCCACAAATCGGTCGATATATGGGAGTCGATCACTCAAATTGGCAGTAAGGTCAATCACTTTGCATGATCTTAACACAATGCCATTACTTACTAGTGTGCAAAAAGGCTACTGTGCAAAAGAGATTACAGCCGTGCAAGTTATCAATAATTAATTATATCAACACAAATCATACAGCTTTAGAACAATACTAAAAACCTCTACATACGTTGTTATCAAATTTGCAGATGAGTATACCCCCCCCCCCAAAAAGGGGGGAAAACAAAATAAGTATGCTAAGAAGATGCATGTAGATGACATGACGATATCCTTGTCAAGGGCATACTGGCCATGGGGAGGTTAGGGCTTTTCCCGAAGGACTCTTGGTATTTTCAGTTGTGGGCTTGTCCGTTTGTGGTCTGAGGGCCGGTTGATCACATCCTTTAAGTTTTAGTGGGTCTGTCGCGTTTAAATCCCCAACAAAATTTAAATTAATAACCAGTCTCCCCTGATCCTATTTGAGGACCGGTTAATCAAAATCTTATAGTTTGAGTGGGTCGGTCATATAAAAATTCCCAAACCAAATTTCAATTTATTACCATTCCGCCTCTGATTCTGAACGATATCCCCATGATTATGTTCCACGTTGCGTTGAAAGAGATGAGTGCTTGCTGCAGATGATGACACAGGAGTATTGAGAAAGAAATAAAAACGTTATTTTTATTTTCTAACCATCTCTCTGGAAGGTGATCTTTTGGACCGCTGGCCAAGAATAGTATCAGCTTCTTGCTTCATCTTGAGAAGAAGTGGTGACAACTTCATTTCCGTCTTTTTGGCATATCCTTGCTGTCGGCAAAGAAAGGGAAAACATGATATTGGAATTCTGACTCTTGCTTGAAGTCAAACGAGATACTTATTAATACGACGAAATGAAATGAAATCATTGTTAGTAAGGTACTGCTTATTGAGTAGTCATCAGTATTCAGTAGTACAATGTATAACGTTCAGTAAATAACGTGATCGCAAAGACTTTCGAGAAATCAAGCAAAGATAAACATAACATTTTGAAATAAGAGCACATAATTACATGGAAATGTTACGTAATCCAAAAATGATTCATGTAGACAATACAGCAGGTTATTAAAAAATATTTTAAACAAAAATATGTTTATAACAATTTTTTGTTTTAATTTTTTTTTTAAATCCCCCAGATTTTATTTCTCGAAAGTCTTTACAACCGTGTCAAATGTTTTACATTCAATAATACATAAAACACAGTTGATACATGTAATCAATAATGACTTTCCACATGAAACACAGTTGATATATGTAATCAATAATGACTTTCCACATGAAACACAGTTGATACATGTAATCAATAATGACTTTCCACATGAAACACAGTTGATACATGTAATCAATAATGACTTTCCACATGAAACACAGTTGATACATTTCGATATTGAGAAGTACATCTATTGCAGACAAAGCACGTGGTCAGGCTATGTTTCTTAAAACGTTACGATACTCGTTATAAATATCACAATAATTATTCTGATTACAAATCTGATAATTACCACGACACCCGATCGAATCAAAATGATTTTAGAAGCTTGCATTATAGTATTGCAAATTTCATCAATACGAAAATTGTTAACAGGGCTGTGATTAACTTTTACGAAATTCCGATGTCCTTCCAAATTCATGCGTTTTCTTCAAATGAAGATAACGATTTTCTTTGCTTTGTTTATGCCCTTCCGTCTTGATGCGTTAGGCCTTCACAGTTTGGGATGGCTTACTTGCTAAATGCTACACGAATTCAAGTTCGCAGTTTGACGGGATTCGTTTTTTTTCTCCCCATTTCAACACACTTCTCACAAGATGGTTTCTTGTTTCTTTGCCGCGTGACACTCTCGCTGACATGCCACGGTGTGCCAAACATTGGGTAACAATTAATTGCTTGGGATTAACCCATATTGTATTCTGAATACCCCTTATAAAAGCCCATGAACTTTCTTAGATTGCCCTCGCCTACTGTAACATCACACAAATGCAAAAGCATTATGAACACGATCCTAAAAACTTTCGTAAAATCAGCCCAAGACATTATCAATAGTCTTGAGCATTACCTTTTGAAATGCATGCCGCAAGATGACAGAATATGAGCATGTACAAGGCAACACAGTAGGATAATAGAATTGCCCTCGAGTTCACTTCTCGAAAGTCCTTGCGATCGTATTCATAACGCAGAGAGAAAAACAACAGGTGTAAAATAATTGGACTACTGTACATTGTACCTGATTACGGTGAGACAGCTCTCCATCCCGTGCCTGGTATGGGGCCCCGTCACTGAAGCCCAACAAGAGCAAGGTAAATAGAAGAATCAAACACGCCCCTCGCTTCATAATTCCTTCAAAGTTATATTCTCGATCTACACAGCTAGCTTTCAATCGAAATCCAAAAGCTCTCCTATTCCAGAAGCTTGCTTTACACCGACCGGTCAGACGTCCGAACTATATTCTGGTTTGACCGCTTCGACTGGTGTCCGAAGAAGCGAAGGTTGTGCAATAATGTTGGTCAACAACAGTACATGTAGTGTTCAGTGCTCAGTTAGGACACCCAATATGAGAAGTATTACCTTGTATTGCTTTGATTGCACGACACGTTTGCTCCAGAGGTAACACACCCTCGGAATTCATTCTTTTATTCTCTCTCTCTCTCTCTCTCTCCCACCCCTTTATCAACTTTTGTTCATTTTTTTTGTATCACAAAGCGATGTCCTTGGATAAACTTTTAAGTTCCAAAAGGCGCCCATTAATTGCAACGACACGTAATTGATGTAATGCAATGCTCTAGGCCGCATGCCAATAGCAGGTACATGCAACAGTAAACTAATCTCATCTTGCGTAGCATTTGAAGTATTATATTAATAAAAGCATAGCAGAATATAATGAATGTTGGTTTCCAAGAATTTGTGGAAGTTTCTCGAAATCGACGGCTGTAACACCACGCTCTTTCTGCTTACACTTATGTTGGGTGTATGATTTACGTTGTAGGGCCTAACTTCATTAAATTTAAAATAAAACATGAATTGTTTGGGGTAATATTTGCATTTAGATCTCTCTCTCTCTCTCTCTCTCTCTCTCTCTCTCTCTCTCTCTCTCTCTTTCTCGCTTTCCCACCCTCTGTCCTCGACCAAAATTAAAGAGTCTAGACGTAAAGTTCCTATTAAAACGCTCGTAAATAACAATAGTTCGTAGGTACGACATATTCACATATCATTTATGCATGCGTTTACATAAACATCAACACATTCTCCCAGGATATCCATAAAGCCAAACAAAATCAGACAAAATGCACCTCAATTTTCTAATCTAAAATAGCTTTATTCATCTACGCACGCTGATGTATTTACATAAATAAGAGCCAATGCATTGCAAAGAAAATGAAATATGTTTGAAATTCATTTGCACTAGATGGGCCGAATTCACAAACCTCGGTTTGTCGACAAACCTCCTTTTGTTTCGACAAACCTCCTTTTGTTTTTTACAAACCAGGTTTCGTATGACGCACATAAACCTCCGTTTGTCGACAAACCTCCTTTTGTGAATTCGGGCCATTATGTCCAAGTTTTTGTTTGCGCCCAAGTCACACTTTGTCGATTTGTTATACTTTTTTTGCGATTGTATCTGTTTTTTCTGTTCTGCAATTTGGCTTTGATGATGCAATCTGGTTAGTGTTGCTTTAACTCTTTCTCTGCTTTGGTCGATTAATGGGATAAGCACTGGAATACTATAGTCGACTTTTGGCACATGTTTAGTGTATATGTGTCAAGTACTCTAAACCATGTGACAGTCCTAGGTTTTGACCAATGGCGAAACAATTTTGTTTTCTTTCAAGTCGTCCTTATTGTGATAGGCTTTCCTAATACTGGCAATGGACAGACCGTCCTTGTTTCGCGATCACGGTATGAAAATATTTTGAAATTCTCAAAAGTTTTGTTTCACCTACGAAAATCGCTACGTATAATGATTATTTTTTTCTTCAGATATTTAATATTATGTAAGATAATTGTGCTTTTTCATATTTCTGCTGCGAGGAGTTACCGACATGTGTATGTATACAGACTCAGTGAATACTATTGCCGATGCAAGCCGTTAACTAATCAAGCGTCTTTTTTTTGTTGCCTGCACCAATTTCTTGCTTGTTTGAGTGTTTCTTCGCTAGGTACAGGGCATGTTTTTTAATTTCTTTTTTTTTTTTTTTTTTTGGTGAACATTTTGAAGTTTGAAATATCCTTTCAAACGAGATGATGTGATGTTCAGTTTGTTTACCAAACACCCGATATGATGTTCTGAATACTTTGCAAAGCTACCAATATGAGAAAGCAACGTCATTAGATCGTGGCGCGCATCTTAACAAATCGTCTACGTGTGACTTAGGCTATTTTATGTCCGTTTCATTGAATTGGTATAATATAATTATTACTTGAATGGCAAAGTTGGAGCAGTTGGCAGTCGTAGAATGTGTGAAACGTGACGACATGTCAAAAAGTTCTCATAATTTTGTTCTTCATTACCTGTTTACTTCTTTACCTGGTATCATTAATGTAGTTTTAGGCCGCAATAAAAACTTTTGTTGGGGGTTATTATTCAACACCTACGTACTGTGACGTTTTGAAAAGCAAACTAGCGTTGCTATGACAAGTAATGCAAACTACATATGTACAACAAAGCGACAAGTGATTCATGTGTAATGGGATAAAACACATTTCTACATGAGCAATAAACCGTGAAAGACTTACTATGAAAGACAAATTACATGAATGTTTATACGATCTCATAAATCATTGCAAATAGTGAATAATAAGTTGTTTATAACTTGTACTGTGTTTGGGGTGAACCTACTAAGTACAATTCGAAAACTGAACACTCATTGGTTTCCCAAAATGCAGCCTTACACAAATATGATTGTGTGCAATTGGTTTTTACAGACGTTTATCAATCAGATATAATTATTTACGTCTACACCGACCTGTAACGTCTCCTTCTATCAACGTGGCCAGAAAATAACACATGAATGCAGTGCTTCCTTGAATTCGAATTGACATCTTCCATTTCATATTTTGACCCCCCCCCCCACACCCTCCACGAAAAAGGGGGACATGATTATACAAAGGAAAACAAAACAGTCGTATACAGTTAACAGCAGTGGTGTATTTTGTTGTTGTTTGCTTCTTTAGTGAAATGAAATCCTACCAGGTACCCAGTTATCACAAATTAGTTTGGAGTCGGTGATGGACATAATATATCCCACACAGACATTGATAAAATAGTGGACTTTCAGTGGCAGTCAGTTTCCTTTGATTTCGCACGTTAAGTGAGAATGTATATTTCGTCGGTACCAGAACTGAAGATAAAAGTGACAATAAGCTAGCAGTTAAGAATAAACTATTGACATTATCACGTTAACAATAAACTTCACTCAATTATACATGTTTCACAGCCAAGTTAATCTAATTCTATATCAAATCACCCTTTCAAATGATACTATTTGTACATGTGGATGGCATTAATCACGGGCATCGCACACTGTGTGCCACTATGTACAAAGGACGGGAGACTTATCAATATACTTTTTACTCATATTTTTTATTCAGTTTGTGCACAATGCTCTTCTCATCGAAAATGTGAGTTGATTTTGTTTCTAAACATCTCGAATCCGGTCATTATTTCTAGAGTGATAGACAAAGTAGACAATCCATTCATTTATGTGTATCCTTGTGTAGCCTTAATCATGTATATGTAAATGGTTTGACAATCAAATACTTTATGAGTGAGGGAAATTCATAGTAGATTTCGAAACTTTTAATTTAACACTCAAGCGTCATGGCGGTAAGAAAGTATGAACACATTTAACGAAGAGGGCTTTTATATTATCGGCTTCAGAACATTATACAAGTTTGAACAGAAGTAATTTGACTTAAGGGCTTTTGAAACTGTGTTACACGGGTAACATGTATTCACCCTTGTAGCAAATATTTAATCGAATAAGAAGGTGATGCCAGAATTCAGGTTACATATATTGGTTGTTGAAATACCGAGAGAGCCCTAGGCAAGCTACAGCATTCCTAGTAACGATTTTAGTAGAAGCTTGAGTAGAATTTCAATACCAAAAATGCTATTTACATCGAATTTCTGTGAAATATGCATGTTATATTTTAATTTCGTGTATCGTGTAGTAGTAGACGGTATTATGAAGATATTGTTTTTTCTTTCAATTGCTTATTATGTTAATTCACCATGTTCATTTATTCGATATATAGTGGGATATCAAAATACCATATGGAAACTAAGGAGAAATTATTTATCCTTTAGCTCCGGATTCATTATGAAGTATGATTTATGATCATGGATGGTCGTGAATTTCATTATTGACATTACAGTAGGATTATGATGGGAGTATTAAAGCATATTGCACTTGGGAGTGATGCTTATGGTGGTTGTGTTTGCGAATTATCCCGTCAGGATCATCCGTTTCTTGGTGGTCTTGGGATTGTCTCCCTTCGACCCTCCCATCCCACGGATGACTTCCTCAAACTGGGAGGCATCGAAGTAGACCTTGGCGATACAGTCGAGTAGTTGGTCGACCTTCTCAGGGAACTCCGACATCGGGTCGTGGTTGTCCTTCTCGGTCACAGCGTTGGGCTTCTTTTCCTCCGACTTGGGCTTGTTATTCAAGCCCACCCACTTCTTGAGTTGCCCGATCATGAAGTCGACCATCTCATAGTCGTTGGACTGGCGGGTGATGTCCCGCTTGACCGAAGAGAAGGCTTCGATGACGATGGTCAGGAACATGTTGACAAGGATGAACGTGATGGTGATCATGAAGAAGAAGAAGAAGATGGGCCCGAGGATCCGATTGTTTTGCACAAAGCCGTCGTAGCTGAACTTGCCCAACATGGCCGCCGACAGCGTTTCCAAGGTGAAGATGAAGTCAGAAAAATCGTAGAGACTGCGGGCGTACATCTTGTAGAAGGCCAGCGCGTAGGCAAGGAAAAAGATGCCGAACATGATACCAAAGTGGAACAAGTCCTTGGTACAGCTTCCAATCGTGGTGGACAATATACCGATGCGTTTGTTGAATCGGAGAAGCTTAATGAACTTCAGGGTGCCGATGAAGACTACCACACCTAGCAAGTAAGTGAGCAGCTCGTTCCAGTAGGCGACATACTGGAGGTTGATCCTCTGTGTGCCACCCGCTGCCTTGAATTCCTCGAGGAGGTTGTCTGTGACATACTTGCGATAGAAGTAGACCACTGTGGCTCCAATGGCACACGCGATGATGATCCATTCGGCCATGTTCCAGAAGTCTTTGAAGTACTTCTTCACCCCTGTCCGTCTCATGTTGTTGATTTCACGAACGATGAAGAACACGATGAAACCAAGGAAGAGGATCTCACACGCGAGACGGACGGCGCCGAAACCGTTAGAGTAGGTGAACAGCCGAATGATGTCGATCCGGTAGAAGGTTTCAACTCCACCAGTTGGAAGGAACTCCGCCACGAGGTCGATGACCCCAAAGAGATTCACCTGCGCGTTGAAAAAAGCGATCTCCAAAAAGACTCCTCGGGTGTACCTATCGAACCAGGCCTCTTCGAATAGTTGATCCAGGAGAGCTTCGACTTCGACCTTGCTCCCTTGCAGCTTGGCAAGATATCCGCCACCAGCGTAGACGGCTTGGCGTCCGAGGACTGGATAACTCTCTATTTCATCCCAAGCTGTGAAGTTGTATTGAGGTCTGTCTGTCACGTTTGTATTGTAGAGTGTCCACCCAGGTCCATAATCACCCTCGTCTGAGTTGCCAAACGAGTAGGCAACGTTACATTCGGGGACAATGTTTGTGAATTGGGACACCACTTCGCATTCACCTGAGGCGTGAAAAAGTTTGAAAAGTATAAACAATTTATATAAATCATACAAAATATAAAAGATTAGCATAAGAAACAGGTCATTTTTATAGTATAAGATGGGTCATATAAAAAAAAAAGTTGACCTTGACCACTTTGGTAATTAAAATCATTCTGTTTTTCATTATTTCGTCATGGTTTTTGACATACTTATTTTAAAGACACATAAAGCAAGGCACTATAAAGTGATAGTTGAGTTTTGGTATAGAGGGCGCAAAAGAAAATAATTTGTTGTAAAATAATTTGAAAGAGCATACAATTTATATGACAAATCATCTTTGTTTGATCAAAATCGGTTCAGAGACGGCTGAAATAGTCATAAATATAACAATTTCTGATATTTGTAGGGCCCCAAAAATATTCGATATTTTGAACAAGCCCTTGAAAAAAACGAGATAACGCTTTATACCTTTGATTCCAGCCAATGCCAATGTTGGCCTTTTGTTGGCTTTTTGTTGGCTTTTTCGTGTTGGTTATAATACGCACAACTAGCCAGACCGTGTATGGTTATTAGTAATGAATTAATGGTCACCGTATTTTTTTAAAAGTGGAGCTGAATTGGTACGATCAGATTTAAAGGCTCTAAAAGGTCACTAAAGGTGTCATAACTAAGAATAAGAGCAATATCCAGGAGCTTTGAAGGTATTTGCGGTCTTTAACAAGAACTCAACGAAAGGGAGGAGAATACAACGCACGAAAATGATATAATTCCATCCCATGAGTCTAGCCTTGTTCTCGTGCATTTTATCCTTATAAGTATGAAGACTCGTGGCCCCACAAAGGATGGATCCATACTGCGCCACCGGTACTTTGGACAGAATGTAATAAACAAGGAGAGGACTCAATGATTCCTTCTCATCATCAGGGCCACATCCAAGCTGGGGGTGGGGTGGGGTGCGACACGTTCTCCTTTCATTCACTTAAGACTTTGGTCTTAGTACGGGTGGTGCTGTTGTACCAACCTCCCCCCCCCCCCCCAAAAAAAAAAAAAAAAAGAGGGGAATATTAAAAAAAAAACGCCAGTGTCTGTACTTACCCATTTTGACGCGGGCTTGTCGTAGTACAGGATATCCGAGGATGAAAGCATTCTGGTTTTTGAGAAAGCCATCCAGCTCGGGACTAGGATCGCCATTGTACCAAGTCTGAGGATAGATCGCAGGAACGAGGGTAGAGTGAAGGTACGCCCAGTAGGATGCGTGGCTGTTGATCTGTTTCCCGTCGATAAGAAAAGCAAGGAAATCGATGCCAAATAACTATGAGGAATAGTACAAGCTTTATTTTAAGCAATATAAACTAAGAATCATCAAATTCAAACTAGGAAGTAGCGAAATTCTGGAAATCTGAATCTGAAGATGCATACGACAGAACGATAAGTGAATACCTTTACTTTAAGAACAAGAGCACTTCAAGTTAGCACTATTGGTGAAAAAGAAAAAGAAATCAATTGACGTTTACACAGTCAATTTGGAAGGAACAGAGGGAAAAGAACATGCCATCAATATAAAGTAATGGGATATTGTGAGAGAAATACTTCATAAGTGACTCTTCAACAAACTGTGAAAAGATACCCTGCCATCACCGTGAAAAAGTGTAAAATATGTATGTCTGAAGAAAGTAATCTCTATATTAAAGGTTTACGCCTGACATAGTGTGTGAAATATCAGGAGGGAGTTGGGGGTGGCAATTTACCACTTCAATCTAAAGGAAACGAGGTGCATTTATCACTATCACCTCATAATTAATCCCATTTTGAAAGAGAAAAAAAGAGAAGCCATGCAACTTGCCTTGTTGAAGGAATGCACACTGTCGGGGCCGATCACAAGCTCGTTGAAGAAGTCCTCCTGCATGCGGTAAGCCGAAGGGTCGGAGTTGCCATAGCTGATGACGAGAACCACCCAAAGGTAGACCACGTAGAAGAAGATCTCTCGGAAGATGGAGTACATCTTGATCTCCTTGACACGTTGTTCTCTAGCTCGCTCCAGTGCCTCTGGATCTGGCGGCTTGTATGGCAGCTTGCGCTTCTTCGTCGACACGGAACCTGGGGTAATTTGAGTTATGGGGCGAGAGGGCGTATTTGGAAGAGAGGAAGAGAGGAAGAGAATGGGTGAGAGAGAAATAGTGAGGGGGCGGGGAGAAAAGGAAAGACGGGGGTTTATACGTATTCATGGGGAAATAAGAGATGATCGAACATCCTTATTATTGCCAATTTACCATTTGATATAAGGATAAACCCCTAGTAATGACATTCTTATTATCTACCATGGTATACTTTACGGGGAGTTGGAGGTTTACACCAACACAAATCTTTCAAGTACTCAGTCATGTGCATTTGGTAACAACTCCAAGTCTATATATTTATGTTTATGTGTTCGGCTTTTTCTCTCTTCAATGGACGACCTCGTTGGGAAAAAAATGTTTACTAATGTTTGTGTGATTATGATATTAGGATATGTATACACAAAACAACCACAGTGTGGTATCATACGTGGGCATTGCATTGTATATGACACGGCATAAGGGACGAGGGATTTTTTGGAAGGATGGGAACACCCCGAAATGTCGCTTAAAAACCTCTATACGAGTAGGTTTCTTGCTATTTGGCCCATTGCCTAATCTAGCTTATCCAATCCCGTCAGGCGTTAGACGAACTGGCAATTGAACGAGGAGCGTGGGGACAAAGGTAAAAGAAATAATGAATAAAATGTGATGAGACGAATTGACGATAGGACAAATAAGCACTGGACCAATATGCAATATCAACCACCGCGTTGATCAAATCAATGAGAGGATTATTTATACCGGAGACCGTGTGGAGGTATTCCTCATCATTTCCAAGATCAAACTCTTCTTCGTCCTCTTCCATCTCGGTGTCCTCGTCAGCGTTAGGGCTCTTGACGATACAGGCGATGAAGGTCGCGAGCAGCAGGATCTGTGTAGCAAATGGGCACCAAGAAAAAAATGATTCAAAGACATGCACTCTGCAGTTTCATTGTATATTGTATCGCATACATTGGAATTGCAGGAATCACCAATTAATAATGTGTGTACAATTCTTGCACGCGGCTAAACTCCGTGTCCCATCACGAATCTTCACCATTGCAAACACCGAACCCAATGCGTAATTTAACAAAAACCCTAGTTGAACCGCTAAGTCGGTATCATTGACGATAAAAAGCCGTATCCACAAATTATCACTAGAATCATTACTACAAGGATAATAATAATAAATCTGGATTAACATAGTGCTTAATACACCATACCGTCTTTAAACACTTTTCAGATATTATTATCATTATTATCCCCGGTCATCGGATTCATTCACGCACACACTATGCACTATCTCCACTCCCTGCGGAGTAATCCTGCAATATGGTCACCCTCAAAGGCTTTCGTCTATCTATCTGGTCCCCATATCTATCCAGGGTATGGAGTGGCAAATTTCGATTAACGCCATGCATTGAACCCACGGTCTTTGCATATCCAGTCTAGTGTTCAAACTAAACTTAGTTCAAACCACTCGACCACGACCTAACAAAAACATACCTTGATGGGCTGCGTGAGGAAGATTCCGAAAACAAATGAAATGATAATGGAACAAAGCCATTCGCTGGTTTCCGTGTTGCCAAACTGGATGCCGTAGAAAATGGTAATGGTGGTAGCAGCCGCCATGGATAAGAGCAAGACAATCCATGCTACAATGACACACCACCATGGGAAGGAGAACTTCTTGCGTCGCTTTGGTTTGTCCGGTTGGATCAGGACCTATTAACAAAAAAAGTGGTAACATTCGGCGTCATATCTACTTGTCTTTGGATTTCACATAGAAAAAAAGTTTTGCTGTGGACATTTGTATGCATTTATTCTCAAGAAATGATTTTCAGAACGTTTGGATCACGACCTCGCGGGGATATGCATTCGGCGATTAGATTTTTGGGTTGTTTTTCACGGGAGAAATGTTAGTTTGCTGTGGACATTTTTGGTGCCGATTTGAAGTTTCGTGAGCTAAAAGGTTAGTCCTTAAAGGTATTTTTTTTAAATCGTAAATCTGTACATCGTATGTCCAATCAGCTTTATTGAATGTAATCGCTTTATCACAGCTATTTGCTTGTCCAAATTCGTTTTCAAATGGAAACTTAAAAGCTCGAACACGAACAAAGCGGAAATGGATACTTACTGTCGCATCTCCTTGCGGAGTAGGTGATGTTTCTCCGCCCAAGTAGCCGGCTCCTTGACCCCCTTGGACCGCTGTCTCGTCGTAGGTGCCAGGGACGGGAGGGACAACGAGGCTCGGTTCGGCCCTCGTACCTGCCGTCGGGTTAATCATCATCGGGGGCTTATTGCTCTCCTCAAGGACGATCCGACTCGGTGATGCCTGGCAGGTTGAATTAGGAGAGGGAAATGTGAAGGATAAGCATGATTAAGAATTGCACCATGGGGGCTTATTGCCCTCCTCAAGGACGATCCTACTCGGTGATGCCTGGCAGGTTGAATTAGAAGAGGGATATGTGAAGGATAAGCATGATTAAGAATTGCACCATGGGGGCTTATTGCCCTCCTCAAGGACGATCCTACTCGGTGATGCCTGGCAGGTTGAATTAGGAGAGGGAAATGTGAAGGATAAGCATGATTAAGAATTGCATTACGGCAATGAATAACTGAAACAACCGAACAGCATAACCTGAGAATGCTATTTAAGTGTGCAAAGAGATGAAAGTATGGTAACCATCATTTTTTCCTACACGGCACAATATTCTATTCTTTTCCCAAAATCCTCCTCTATATATTTTGTATACCTGACCGCAGCTCTCTTTCCCTCTCGTTTTCAGCGTCTCCCTGTCCCTCTTTCCCCTCTCTCCCATAGACATCATTAGGGAAACAAAAATGAAAGATGTTATACAATTATTTAATTCAATAATCATCTGAATTGTAATTTAGTTCTTTTATCATCTTTATTTCTTTCATGAAAGTTTCATTTCAGGAGATGATGACTGTTCAACACGATCTCTCACTTACAAAGTCTTCCAGTTTGGAGTAGTTAGCGGGTGCCGTCTTACGAGGTCTACGCCTTAGTTTTCGTTTGGGTTTGTTGGCCAGGGCCGCTACCTTGATGCGGGACTGTCTCATATTCCTCGGCCGGGACTTCCGGAAGAATTGTACAACCAGAAGTGATACCGGGAAAACTATAAGATTGGCCTGGACACCAATGCTGATCTGTTGAGATAACGGTGGAAAGATGTAATTATCTGTCTGCTTTGTATCGTGTACCACCACCACCACCACCATACCTAACATCATCCATTCATAACCACTGCCATGACCACCACCACTATCACCACCACTATCACCACCACTATCACCCACAATGATTACCAATACAATTGTCACCACCATCATCACCACCACCACCACCACCCCCACCCCCACCGACTCTACCATCGCTCATGATCATCACCATCACTATCACCATCATCACGAATATCATTGACCACCAACACCATCAACAACAAGGTTTATCAGCTCTACAAGAAACATAAACACCATCACCATTACTACCTACAGCAACACCTCCACCACCACAACCATCACTATCACCATCATCACGAATATCATTGACCACCAACACCATCAACAACAACGTTTATCAGCTCTACAAGAAACATTAACACCATCACCATTACTACCTACAGCAACACCTCCACCACCACAACCACCACCACCACCAATGTGTAAGTAAAAAAAAAGGGAAGGGCGTGTTACCTGAGCGGGCGAGAGACTCAATGGTCCAATTTCAATGGGGCTTTTAGCAGCTGCCGGTGGGGCGACCTGGTAAAACATGATGTTAACCAGCATCTCCAACCAAAGGAACATAAGGCAACATGCAGCCCTCTGCACCCTGGTGAAGCGACTGCCAGGAGGGCGCCCTATGATGGAGAACCACAGGTGGCCATCGTTGAAGTTCTTGCGGGTATGGTTACTGAACAGGTGGGAGAAATTCTGCATCTGCTCGCGTCCGGCCACTGGGATCAGTCGGTCGATCTGTATGTTACAGGAGGAAAACTTTAATTGTTTACTCGTTGATCATGTTTGGTTCCAGATATATACCGAGATACATCAGAAAAAATATATATCATGTTATCACGCAACGTATATCATTAGAAAAATTACTGCTAGGATCACATGGATTGCTTGGTCAACTTCAAAATGATAAAGATCCCTTCAAATATCTATTCAAATATTTAGATGAAATTATATAATATTTTGCCTACAAAATAACGAAAAGAGGAATAATTTAAGTTTCTTTCTCATGCTGCAAAGAATGTTTACCTGGTAATTGATGTTTTTCTTATGTGGGTCTTTGCTAATATGCATCCATTGCCGATATATTTGAATAAAAGTCTCGAAAATTACAACGAAGATTGATTTTTGTTTACATCATGACCATCATGATTCCTACCTGTCCGTCGTCCTCCACCACTGAGAACCATTGGTTGACGATGAAATAGAACCTCTCCCTTGTCTGGATGTCTCTGATGGCGATGTATTTGACGTACCATCCTTGCATCTTTCCTTTACCAGAGTTGTCGTGCCAGATCCGCATGTAGTTCAGCGTTCCCAACGGCCTATCATTAATAGAAGGAAGATCCATGTATATCTTATTCTTGATATTTTTATTATTATTCTTAATGTTCCTCATATTCGATAATTGCCCCTTTACAGAACTTCTTGTTTTCTCCTGATATATTAACGTGCAGCTCGTCTGTGTCAAATGCTAACGAAACTAAGCATCTTGAAAGTTCACATTACTAGCACTTCGGATTTTTTTTTTCAAGAGCATTGGGCTACTGCTTAATTCTTTGATCAGAAGACAAGGGGTATACAGAGTTGTTGACTTGGGCCGTTGCTGGATTCTGCGAGGATCGGGTAATATGTAACATCGCTACCACAAAATACGCTGTCGCAGCGACAGTAGGTAATCGGTCCTATTCATTTGACAGCAATTCTGTCTAATTATTCAGACAGAAATGAAACATTAGAATTATTCTAACGCCTGTAACATTCACTTAGTATCGAGTGATTGACTATATGGTTGCCTTTGCAGTGCGCCATGTGAAGCTAAGTAAATCAATAGCGCCCCGTCTCATAAAGAGTTCACATCAGTCACAACTTATTTTTGATTGATATCAATCGCAACTATGTATAAAAGAGATAGGAGAGCGCAAACTTGCGATTGATTGGAGGACTTGCGACTGGTTTGATCAATTCGCAACTCTTTATCAAACGGGCCCTAAATATTAATTTGCAACAACGAATCATTATTCCCTCATTAATTAATAGAAGAGTTTAAGAACTTAAAGACACTATGGGGTAGCGGTTTTTACCCTGGTACAGCCATGAGGAATCGATCAGAGGCACCTCTTCGGAAGATCTTTCTCTTGTCATCCTCAAAGTCTCGTACAGACGTTTCCTCATTCTCACCAGACATGATAAAACTGACCTTTAGAAGACATAAAACAAAACAAAATAACAGACTATAGGCGGTGTAACACAGAAAAATCACTTAAAAAATCCCTTGAAAAATCCTTTCAAGGGAGAATTTTCTTGCTTCGTTAGAGGATTTTAATGGGATAATTGGTGACAGACAGCAAATAAGAGGATAACTAAAATCCGGATAACTAAATCCGGATTGTTGGCCTTTGTGTGACACCGCCTTATCTGAATAAAATAATGTACAGGTGTCGTGGTCTAGTGGATATGTCACCGGAATGTGGATCACATGGTTCGCGGTTCGATTCCTGCTGCGACAAAAATGTCGTTTGGCAAGACATTAATCTACATTTGTCACTCTATATCCAGGCGAAATAAATGGGTACTCGGTAGGAAGAAATTCTTTGAACGCTTTAGCACCTTATCATGTAGGCTCAGATACAGCGGGGTAATAATATGATGCTTTGTATGAGGCTCAGTAGAGTGTATTTGTATAGTAGATGCGCAATATAAATGGACAAATTAATTTTAATTATCATATCATCATCCTTTTATTTAATTCCATTATTCCTCTAACACGATCGCAAAACTGTTTTAAAAAGTACCGAGACTCAATTTCATTAGCCTTGTGCATCACCTATTGAAATATGCGAACTAGACAATGAAATATTTACATAATACGAACATGATTTGAATGGGCAATACAATACGATATGCAAATTACCCTAATTTGATTTCTACAAAGTCTTTACTTTCGATTAGCAACATTTAAAAGATGTTAAAAATCATTTTAAAAAATCATTTAAAGTTATCATTTTGTTATCTTTTCAACATAGATCGTTTATTTAAGAGACATATTATATTTGGAATATGGGCTCTGCAATATTATTTATTCATTTGTTTATTGTGGTATAAAAAAAAACACCATTGTACATGGCAGCCTTTTGGCTGAATTGAGCACAATTTACATAAGTAATGACACAAGTATACTGCACAAAATACAATAGTATTAAAAAGAAGATATCATTTGTAGCCCTTCAAAATGCTGTTCTAAAAGGGAAAATTTCACTGAATGACGTAACGTGGAGTTCAATGGATAATCTATTACAGCAGTAAAATATATACTAACACATCAATTGTTTATGTTATCTGTAAGTCATCCTTATGTAATAAAATGTGCTTACTTTGGAGTCGGTTCCACCGGCCTTCCTCTGTCCTGTCATCACAACTATCTCATAATAATAGTTATGAGCCGGGTTGTTGTCCACCAACGGCGTGACTCCAAGCTGGAATTATAAACGAATTATATATTTCAGTAATCAAAACCGAAAATCCTTAAACAGCATTGCACAATGTAGTGGAATATGTCATACTCTCTCAAGTCTCGGTAATTTTCATAATTTCAGAGGATGTACCCAACATTTAAAGTCGGACCCTACGAAATCGACACAAAAAACACAGGCTCAATATGATAGTAAACTGTTACCATAGAGGTGGCATAAATATTGAAACCTTCTCTCTTTATGAAATGATTTTGACAACATGGTTTATTTTGTATGGATATTTCTTTATCTTCTGAGAACATTAACTTATCAATCTCTATGACGCTTTTTAATGATCCATAACGTTTTTGGAAGATATAGTCTTTACTTATGAATAATAAATCATATGGTCACCATCGTTTATTTTTTATTTTTTAACTTATCGACAACAGTGTGATAAAAGCTAGTACGCACGTGTAAAGAAAATAGTGAATTTGGCGGAAATTTGAAATGCTATTACACTCTTGATTTTGTGCATGGCCCGTATATCATTGATTTATGTCCACAATGTAGGCCCTACACTTCTTATACTCCGAAGATATTACAATATAACATTAAAATGGGGAAATTTGAGACAAATAGTGGTATACAAATAACGTTGGAAGCTCTTCATTAATATATATTCGTCGTTCTGTGAAATAGAGACTGCGATAAACTATTTAAAAAGTAAGGGGAAAAATGCTTGTAATAAACCTTAAGAATCCTCAAAAAAATGCGCATTATCACGGCAGTCATGTTAAATCTGAGAATGAAAGCATGGCCGCCAGAGAGAATAGTACTATAGAGTGTTAATCACTGATGAGGCTACTCTGGGTAAACAACATATAATACTTTTATTACTGTTGTTATTATTATTGTTATTATTATAGGTAATAATAATGTAATCATTATTTTTATTTTTATTTTTATCATTACCATTGTTATTATTATCATTTTTATTTATATTATTTTGTTATGTTTATTATTATCATTATTATTATTACCACTATTATTATTACCATCAGTATTCATCATTATCAATACTATCATTATCAGCATCATTATCATGTTATTATTATTATACTGAATGTTAATACTAGTTGAGATAGTAATTCACTATCACTATTACCATCACTATAATTACTAGTATCTTATCCCTCCCTGGCAATATAGTCATTCCTACCTTCAAGAGGTCTTTACGATCTCGACGTCGTGCCCATAGCAAGATGAAGATGAAGACCACGTAGATGACGATGGTGGTGATGTAGATGGTGAGGTTCTGTGCGAATCCGGCATTGGCGAAGATGTAATTGAAGTCGAGAGGGGTAGGCGGGACGATCCATGTACTGGCAAATGACGTCAGATGGGTACAGCTACAGTACTGGGCCTCGTAGGTAGTATTGTTTGCGACCTGCAGAGACAAAAAATTATTCACGAGAGTTATCCAAAACTTTCTTGAACAATACAGTAGAATACTGCAACAAATATATATTTAGATAAATCAGTAAAAGTAAACACTGTGGCATCATTCGTACACGTTACCGTTAATCATCTAATAATACAGTCTAACCAACAACAAAAACGGAGAAGAAGTAGAGGATCGACATGTTTGAAATATTTCAACAATTTCCAAAAGAAAATTTATTGACTTATTTATTTAAACTTTTTTTGAAAATAAACACAAGTGTGTGACTGTGTAGAAATATGGTTTTCAGCATAGCGGCTGGCCACTCCGCTCCTCCCATACCGGGGCTTCAAAAGTGTTTCCTGCGTAGTCTATTTTTTCTTTGAAATCGCTTTTAATGGGTGAGGGTGTCGGATGGGATCAAATCTGCCCGATAAAGGCTCGTTCAGATATGACGCGGTCAACCGCCTTAGAAAAACAACCGCTGCGATTTTTGTCAACTGCGCGCAACCGACGAGCACCTCCAGGGCGCAACGAAAGTTCTGCGCGTATTCACTGAGCTCCGTGTTAGAATATACAGATTATAACACAAATTTAAAGAAAATAATATACAGATTATGAAGCGTATTAAACTTTACGTCATCATAAAACAACCGGCGCGGTACTGCTGTGTCATGCCTGAACGAGGCTTAAGTTTGCCCATAGTTTCAAAGAGGCAAAACTCAATTTTTGTAAAATCTAAACTTTGAAATTGGGTATTTTGTGACAGAAGGTGGCAGATATTTACCTCGCATCCATCCTGGAGCCACATTTCTTGCTCTTCGCTCCAGTATGAGCAGCCTGAGGAGAGAACTCGGAAACCGTACGGGAGTGAAAAGTTCCGGCTCGTGTTTCCCGCCGCCCACGACAGCTCGAGTTCGTCTGCGGAGGACAGATCTGGGTAGTCATCGAAGAGCTGATCGCAGTCAAGCTCGAGCAACAGGGCATAATACTTCCGGGCGTTGTTCCCGACGACGGAGCTGCTGTAGAAAGCCTGGTGGATAACTGTGTCAGTTGTGGCTAGAGTGTGATGCAAAGGCAATAAACGCGAATGGTGCTCGTTAATGAATTTAAAGCAAAGCAAGACATTATGATGTATTTTAATCGCCTGTTTTTACCAATATTCTGTTAGTAAAGAACAAAAATGAGGATTTGACAAGAACGAATGATATGCCCTGAAACGTCACATTATTTTATTAAGAACTATAGTTACTTTGTTGATCATTCTAAGGGGTTGTTTCAATGTTGTCAAAGGTGATACAAATTATTTCACACAGAGTGTTTGCAACGGTATACCTTGACCATTTTGAAAGGGGGTGGGGAAGGGTGTTGGTTTTATAAAGACCCAGTCTGCTAACAAGTCATCCAGTATCGTGCCAATGGGTGACAAGCGAAGATATGTACTCCAAATATTTCCAATTTTGAGGACGGACAATCACAAATATTTTCAATCAGCAAAGATATATGTTTGTTAATACATAATCTATATTAATTTAATAATGCAATATTAAAGAATAATAATACGATAGCAACACTTTTCGAAAGATCAACCTAACGCAATTTAAATAGCCCTATGCATCACCAACTGAAATGTGCGAACATGGCAAGGATGTTTTATGTAATCAGGTCATGATTTCTTTGAGACATACAGTAGGGTATTGAAATTGCCCTTGATTTGAATTTTTGAAAATAGTTGTAATCATGTTATAATACATGATGGTAAGATTATCCGGTTAAATCACGAATAAGGGGCAAAAGACTTCACTGTTTTACCATGTCTCTAGTCACTATGTTATCCTAACCAAAACTCGTCACGGCTATGGCAACAAGTATATGGGTGGAGAATATTACATTTGGATTGTCGATACGATTATGAATACATACCATTTTCATTTCTATCGTAGTAGAACAGTTTTATATCATCAAAGCCGCTTATATTAGGGAAGCCGCTAAACCCGAGAAGCAGGGCATAGCATGACATGCGTTCGACTTGCAACTGAACTGTGAAGGCCGTGTTATTGTAGCTGATGTCAAAGCTGTGGTATGTCACATTGGTAACGTTCACTAGAGCGTCGGAACCAAACTCATTCCAGCTTGGTTCTTCCCCACCTGGTCGATCAATCTTGAGAAGGATAGGCGCGTTAGCGTTGGAGATCGTAATGGCCCCGCCTTCCAGGGTTTCGAAGACGACTTCCATGACGCCGGAATCGCGCGAGATACGGTCAGAACTCTCTTCGTAATTGTATGGATTCGTTGGTAAGGAGGTTGTCTGCCGGTTTAGAAGCAAAAATGGAAAGGTTTTAGCCAAATATGAAGTTTTTCACAGCATTCAGTCATGGTATATTACAATTTGTATAGCCACAGAGTTATTTGTTATAAGGAAAAATCTGTAATATGAAGATTTATATACAGATGCCAAGGGGACAATGCATGGTATTTGCAGAAGAGCTTTAAAAAAAAAGATTTATGCTTACGGGTCTTTTGTCTTTTATTATACTCATCATGGTGATCGTAATCGTCAAAACTTTCATCATCATCGTGTACAACCTTATTATGTTCAATCATCGTCATTATCATTATCACCATCGTCATTATCATCGTTATACTCATATTACATCATCATTATCATCTAACTGTAATAACAGTTACCATCACCATTAACTTTATTATTGTCATCATCACTGTCACAATCCAGCATCACTAATTCATCATTATCATCCTCATCACCATCACCGTCACCATCACCATCGTCACAAAATTCTTCATTTTCATCTTCGTTATGATACTTATGGACATTATCGTCACCATTATCATCAACATCGTCACCATGGTCACAACCGGCATCACAATTACAATCAGCATTAACTCCACTATTGTCATCATCGTCGTAAGTTAAATTAAATTATCGACATCATCATCATCACTATTATCTTCTCCATTACTATCATTATCATCACCATCATTTTAACTGTCGTCACAGCTATCATCATCATCACCTTTACTATTGTCATCACCGTCGTCACCGTCATCATCACATTATCGTCAACTTCATTATCGCAATTATCGTCACAGTGACCATCGACATAGCCGTCATTACAGTTATCATCATCACCATTACTCGCCACCACCATCATGCCATTACCTCTCGCGAAATGATGGCATCGTTACCGCAGATTGCCTCGGGATCATCGACGAGCTCGGTCAACGAGGGGAGGAAGACGCTCCCGGAGTCTTCATTGACACCACGATCGGCCAGATCGCTACAGGTGTTCTTTACGTACGTCATTGAAATTGTGTCTGTGTGAATGGAAACAGCAGGCTCCCGGGGTAGGGTGTTCCGTCCCAGGAGCTTCTTGATGGCTTTCATCTTATTTCTGGCTTCAGTTACCACTGCACGACCCTGTTTGGAGAAAAAAGTATGCATATTCAAATTTAAATAGATTTTCCGCGCAAATACAGTTGATGGGTCGTGGTCTAGTGGACACGTCACCGAGCTATGGATCATATGGTTCGTGGTTCGAGTGTCATCACGGCAGTGATGATTGTGGAGCGCCAGGGGTGTCAAGTTTGACAGACTTAAGTGCGATACAAAAACCTTCTTGTATTATCATAAATATGATTATGATTATCAATTTTATTATCATTATTATGATTATGATTATTATCATTATCCTTATTGTTTGTACAATGTAATATATAAAAGTGCTCACACGGGAATCAATTCGGATTTGGATTCCGTGCGCGGGATTTTTTCTACAGAACGGCAGATAAAGTTCTTTTATGGTCGGTACATCCTAACCATACACAAAATAGTTTGTCAGGCGATTCAAGTACAATTAACGATAGATGAACTAGTAGTTCGACTCCTACCTGGTCCCTTTTCCGTTTAAGGTTCTCCTCTTTCTCGGGTGTCCACTCAGTTGTGGTGGCTGAAAGAGAGAGAGAGAGAGAGAGAGAGAGGAATGTGAGTTTCAAAGTATCATTGTTTCTAAATATGTCAGCGTGTAACCTGTCCCACACAACTGAACTCCACTGTGCTAGTCAGTTCCAAGCGAATTACATTTCCAGATAATTTTCAATTTTGGAAAAAAATAATATAATTACAGACATTTTCACAAAAAATAAAAACACCCGATCGTTATGCCTTTCCGTATCCAACCAAGTTAGAGTTCAATTTCTCATAAATGTGATGAAACGTTGATAGGATACATAATTGTTGCGAAAGTTCCATGATAATAAGTGATATGTAATTTCATGAATCAGTATTCTTCTTATTATTTTTATTCAATCTTTTATTTCTATTATTCTGATAATTATACTTCGACAAACCTTCTTCACCCACACTAGAAGTAGCTGCACTGATTGAATCTTGAAGGGAACTGAAGGTTTGGTCACCGTCTGAGCTCTCAAATTCATCTAGGATCGGTAAGGAGTCCTGGACACTCAACGCTGACCCCTAATTTGTTGATGAAAGGGGGAAAAATTTTGATGTTTTTCTTGTCATTTTACATGATAAAGAAAGTTTCAAGCGTTGAAGGTTTAAAGGGGGTGTAGCATGACGAGACTACATGTCGTTTCCGTGGCCTGACTCGGGGCCAATCGGGTATATACGACTACGGACGACGCGACCGCAGTATTCACGTGCGTGCAACAAACACGAAACCGAAGCGTGAGGGGAAGTTCCGTCTGTTTCACGAACGCTAGCGCGCTGACCGTTAATCAAGTTCATTCGTTTACGTGCAGTTGTCCAAACGCAGTTGTCCAAAAGAAGTCGTAGACGGCGTTAACCGGTATTCGCCATGTTACACCCCCTTTAAGACCATGCCCCGTGATCCAGGTTCGAATACAGGTGCCTCTCTCTACCCAGGATGAGTGAATCGGGTGGCATGGCTGTTGGATTGTATTTTAAAATGCACTGTACTACATTGAAAATTAAATAACAGCTGCTGGAGCAATGGAGGATGATGAAACAAAGCTTTTGACAATGCAGAGCGAAAGTTCTTTGGAGGAACAAAGAATATGTATACTTAATACTTATTTACTTGAAATTGTATAACTGATTTCATATAAGTTTAACATTCTATTATCTAAGATTCAAATACTTTATTGAATTGCATGAACTGAATATAGTGTGATATATGCTAATAACGCAGAATATGATTATTGTGAGATCTATGGTAATTAATTCAAAATCATTCCAAAAAAAACAGACTTACCTGAAGTATATTTCCCATAAGTCCTAGCAGCAGAGAGGTGGTTGCGCCCAGTGTTTCTGTTGACACGGTGTCCTGTAGTTCTTCAGTGACATCCAATATGTTTTCAGCTACAGTATTGAGCGAGGTCTACATAGGGCGATATACATTGATATGACAATCATATTTATGATTAACTACATGCTTTTGAAAGTACCTTACTGAGAGACATGTTCTACCTATATAGGATTAAATCATAATCTTTGTTAAAACAAAAGCCTGCTTTAGGTCTTATAGTAGGAGCTGTCCAAGGGTTTAGGGTTCCAAACTCAGCCCGGCACTAATGCCCTTTGGTCATAAATAAATCTACACTCGCCATATACGTGCACGGACTGCGGGAAGAGCATTATTATTAACTCTGGCGACCCATGGTAAATAAGACCCTATTGTTGTCATTAATTATCAGCATGATTATAATTATAATAAACACAGAAAGCCGAGGCATGCTCCGTCCCTCATTCTAAATTACAATTCCAATGATAAACCATATTGACAAAAAGTCTGTTCTCTCAGCATGTCACTTTTTGAAGAAGAAAAAAACACAGTCCCCGATGAATGACATCAAACATCATGAAAGCATTGTCAAGAGTTTTTTTTTCCATGGTGCATGATTATCGACATTAGGGACTTTTAGATTTGCGTGGACTAATACGTGTGACGTCCATTCAAGGCAGTGCAATAAAAGGACGTCGATCGTAGCAATCCACGTTGTCGTTGTGCAAATCTAAAAGTCCCTAATATCAACAATGTCTACCAAACGGAAAAAGGGGGCTTTCCGCACTTGTTAATTTATGCATGTCTCTTACATGATAATGTGTGCAATTTATATTTATCAAGTCTGTAAATAATATATTTGTATTGCTTTGTATTATGCAGGAACATCGGGGGTATCAGTCTGTTAACTGATGAGGCAATCCTCCTTTTTGCAGGAGCATTTGGTTATGCAGATGATTTGACACTGCTGTCACCTAGCGTGACTGCTCTTCAAGAAATGATTAAAACTTGTTTAGATTATGCCATTAAATTTGATATTCTGTTTAACCCTGAAAAGAGTCAGTTAATAGTTTTCAGCTGTAATGGTAAACCAGTTATGGATCCAGGAATCACGATAAATGGAAGACATATTGATATTGCATCAAAAGTAACTCATCTAGGGAATGATATTTCTAAGAATATAAATGATTTTGATATCTCAAAGTGTGTTGGAGATTTCAATCGACAATGTAATATGTTTTTGTTTAATTTCAAATATGCTAACTCTCACATAAGAAATATATTGTTTCATAAATATTGTTCGAGTTTCTATGGCTCACAGTTATATCCTCTGTTTGATAAATGTTTTGATAATATTTGTAGACAATGGCGGGTTGCAATAAGAAGGGTTTGGAAAATTCCATGGCAGACACACTGTCATCTTTTGCCTTATTTAGCAGGTGTTATGGATCCAGAGTTATGGTTTGCCAAAAGATGTTTATCTTTTGTTGTGAAAGCTATGAATTCCAAAAATTATACAGTGGCACATATAGCTGGAATGGCCAGGTATGGAGCTCATTCTGTGTTGGGAGGTAACATAAGATTCTTGAATGATAAGTACTTCATGGATAACAATGAAATTCAAAAGCAGTGGGCTGTGCAATGCCAAGTGAATGATGAGACAATACGCATAGTTGAACAAGTAAAGGAATTGATCAACTCGAGGGATGATTATTTATGTAAGGGTTTCCTTAACCGAGAGGAGTGCGAGGAAATTATCTTGTATTTATGCACACTCTGATCTTACCCTGTTATACATGTATTCTGTTGTTGATGTTGTTTTTTTTTTCTTTACATATATTGTGAATGTGCCTATTTGTAGAATATATTGTATATTTTTTGTTATTTTTTTATATGTGCTTTTTAAAGCGAATAAAGAACTCTTGAATTGAATTGAAACTGTAAATAATCAAAAACAAACATAACAAAAATCTCTGGCAAGCAGACAAAGATAGTTTCGCCAAATTATGGAAGGTTAGGGCTACCCCTAGTCCTCTTAACTCCGCCAATATCACAACTCTACTCACCAATGCACCTTGAGACAGTTCATTAGTATAGAGTGAGAGTTCTAATGCAGATCCGGCCAATATCTGAGCGTCTTCTAAAGAATTGACAGTCATTGTAGCTTGAACCGAAGCTATCTTGCTTCTCAGCTGTCAAGTCGAAATAGAAAGAAAAATAAACTTATATTGTACCGTCACAAATTTTGGCCATTGAGTTCTGAGACCATATAACCTAATAAAAAAATCCAAGTTAAATTCTCACAATTACTTTATGAAAAGAAGTAAAAGAAAAGTCGTTTTAACTTCATGGACAGTATAGTCAAGCCCATTTTATTCAAAACAGCCAATTTAGTCCAAATAGTAGACAAAACCACTCATGTTGTACCGTTACATGTCTAAGGTCTGGTGCACACAAGCGATTATTCATCTCCCGCCAATTGCGCCAAAAGATTGTTGATTAGATTCACGCAGCGAAAAATATTTCAATAGTCAGTATAGAAATTACATACATGTTGTTGGATTGTACAAGCCGTTCTGTTTGTCCTACCTACACTGTACCACCACCACCACCACCACCTCCACCACCACCACCACCACTACCACTACTACTACTACTACTACTACTTCTACTACTACTACCACTACCACTAGCACTATTACTACTACTACTACTACTACTACTAATATTACTACTACTACTACTACTACTACTACCACTACCACTATCACTACAACTACTACTACTACCACTACCACTATTACTACTATTATTACTACTACTACTACTACTACGACTCTTACTACTACTACTACCACTACTACTACTACAGCATGTTTAATTTGAAATTTTGCCTACCTATGTATAACATGTACCATACCAATCCACTGATTAGCATGACTGATACTCACATATGCTCGTGTTGTTGTCTTCTGTATTTTCTCAACTTCTAATTCACGGATAGCTGATGATGACTTGCATGTAAAATATCAGAAAACAAAAATAAATAAATAATTATCTTACAAACAAATTTGAGAATAGTTTATGTTGATGCCTACTTTAGTAATTTAGTTTCTTAAGGTTGCTTGGTTGGTACTGGTTTTGTATAATCTTGTATAATCTCACTTATGAGGTATATCAGTTGTGAATCATATTTTTCGAATAAATACGATTATCCTAATGACTTACCTGCTCTGTGACGGTAATGTTTTCTGTCCCCAGATTCCCCGAGTGTGTTTCAATTTGTCCATCGATTAGAGTATCTGGAACAAATACAAAATTTGAGATAAAAAATAAGAATATATACACTGTACGTACAATCTTCTCTTACGGTCGAGTGCATACGACCCCAGAAAATGCCATTTAAATCCACTACAGCTTTCTTCAAAGGTCAACGGCAATTTTGATTTGTTTTTTGTTTTTTGTAACGTCTATGATCATAGGTTTAACCTCACTTTATCAATTTAATGGACCAGTTGTGTATCTTTACAGATATGTTCGTATTACATGACACTGACTATATGAAAATGGCATCAATATATCGAGAATTCTGAGTTTAGAATTTTCTTCCGTCCCTACCAATATTATATTTTCTTATCATATTTCTTAATAATAATAATAATACATAACACTTATTAGGCGCTTAATACTGATGTTTCTAAGCGCACAGTGTTCTGATTAAGAGAAGACTATAACCCGTAGAATTAAATTAGAAGAAAAAGCAAAAATACAAAAGTAACATAGATAAGGTAAGAAAAACAGTGGCAATCAACTAAATAAAGACAAATACAAATATGGTGCGCACCTCCATTGACCGACGCACAACTGCAATTTACAATTTGAAAAGATAGGTTTTGAGTAGAGATTTGAATTGAGATACAGAGGGGGCGCAGTGAATAAAGGCGGGCAGTTTGTTCCAGAGAGCGGGGGCAATAACTGAAAAGGCGCGGTCACCATACCGGGTGTTAGTGCGGGGTCCAGGTGTTAACAGTAATGTGGAAGATGAACGAAGTGTTCGTGACGACGTACGGGAACGTAAGGATATGAGATCGGAAAGGTAGCAGTGACTACTACAGCAAAAAAAAAAAACTACTACTAATACTACTACTATTTCCAGAAGTACTTCTACAACTACTACTACTACTACCAATAATACAAACACTAATACAAGTAATAATATTTATAATTAATGATAATTAATAATAAAGATTGGAACAGACTTAAGATTGATAAAGATTGAAACAGACTTGACCATCAGAAGGGGAATCATGGAAAGAAAACTTAACTATTTTGGACACATTGTTAGGAGATCTGAAGGTATTGAGAAGCAAATACTGCAAGGAGCAGTCGAAGGAAAACGGGGTAGAGGTCGTCCACCAATATCTTGGACTGATGATATTAAGAAAGTGTCTGGACAAGGAATGAAAGGTGCAACACGAATGGCAGGTGAAAGAGTTGCATGGCGTGCTCTCGTGAAGGCCACAGCAGCGCTTTACAGCGCCACCTGAAGTTGATGATGATGATGATTATAGTGATAAGAAGAAGAACCAAAGAATGAGAAGAGGAAAAACAAGGAAAAGAAGAAGACAGATTGATGAATTGAAACGAAACAAAAGCTCTTCAAGAGAAAATAAATTACAATTAACAACATACTTGTGAAAGTTCTTTCAAGATTCAGGGCTGAAATATCAATCGTAGCTTTTTCGGTGACACTCACTAAGCTGCCTTCAGCCTGGAGTTTATCGTAATCGTCTAATAATGATGTCACAGTATCATCTGCAAGAATAGTCTCGACTATCTCTCCAGGATCCACCTTCATTAAGAGGTTGAAATTTAAAAGAGATCAGATTTTATATGAACAATTAAAAATGCAAAAGCTGAATCATCGAGGATCTGAAAAGTCATTATCTTTAATGTAATCGAAATTTCAAGGGATTTCAAACTTCCTTCAAGAGGTCGCAAAGCCAAATCGGGCCAGAATTGTAGTGATATCAGACCAACAATTCGCTTGTCTACCATTTGAAGCCAAATTGGCATTTTTGTTGACTAGAAATTTTGAATACATTCAAATTAGTATGCTAATTATCATTATTTAGAACCTTAATCAGTAAGATGTTTTTTAGATTTCCAAATCTCAAATTACTACTATTTGTAAAAGACTCGTATAGCAAGAGAATCAATAGTGTGCATTATGGTTTAGTATAACAAGTATTAGTCCGGTTTACTAACGTTTTTTTTACCTTTTATGCACACTTTTTAAACAACGATTGCCCTTTAAAACCTGTAAACTTGCCCGAGGATTGCCTGACAAAGTAACAAGATATGTATGCAGAATGGATACCAAGTATTGCAGTTCCTTCATCAATAACAAGTTAATGGAATATCTCGTCACCAGGTCTCCTAGAGAAACATCTATACATTTGAATATGTAAGTAAACCGGTCTATGTCACGTGATCAGACTATGATTTCTTATTGGTTACTAGTGATTACCAAAACTTACATAGACATTTCCCGCATCGACTGTCACTGACGCACCATAACGGTCTGATATGACGACTGAGATTCCAATGGTGTTGTTTACTTTACCGACCGGGAGCGGCACCAAAGTGCTCGATCGGCTACCCGTATACAGCAGTTGATTGCTACCGTCATCAACAGCTGTAAAACAACAAAATCATCACAAAACCTAATAAGAAATCATCAATGTATATTGCGAGCGTCGAAATGTATTATTGACATGAATCTCATCTTTATGAACGATTAAGTTTCCACTTGGTTACCACAATGCCACACACGGTCCATTGAACATTTTTACATGTTATTAAGTACAATTTCATGAGAATATGACAGTTTAACTGTTTTCTGTTGCATTTGTGGAGGGTCAGTTCTGTAGAATGACTGTACTATACAATTAACAGCGCCGCCGGGATCAGCGTGGTTCTAAGGTAAGTAATGTCCATTGTCATCCCAAAACGACTGTCTCCCTGACTAACACAGTGACATGCTTTACCATAGAATTCGTATGACGATATGCCGTCTTCATCTTCCCAGTCCATGCATGCAATGTACACGGAGTCGCCGAGATCGATGGATCGAGAATCGACGTCGCAGCCATTCCCTGTCGGGAGTGTGTTCAATTGAGCTTCGATCTCTGTGATGCCCTCGACGCCCCCGGTGTTGGTAGCCGAAAGCCGAATTACAAAGCTCGTTCCTGATGACTGTCGGCTGAACGCCGCTTGCTTGATGAAAATTGCATCAGTATTTACACCTAGAACGGTGATTCGAGACAAAAGGCAATTTAGAAACATGTTTTGCAAATATCAAAGATCTAGGAAATAAAATAGGAGCAGCATGAAAAACTATTGAAAAAACACCAATAAAAGGTGCCGTAGAATCCTCTCTCTAGAAAGGGAGGCGAAAAAGGACATTCCCGCGTGAACCGTCTGGTCTTTATACTGATTCACGATTCACGATGGTTCGACAGTTAGCTATACCAACAGTGCCACTCTACTTCAACAAAGGAAGTCAGCAGCCTCCAACTAATTCGTTAATGTTCATTCTTCTTCTCCATCTTCATCATCATCTATACCTTCTATTCTTCTTATCATTATTTTCATGATGCTATTTCTTCTTTTTCTTTTCTTCTACTTTTCTTTCTTCTTCTTCTTCTTCTTCTTCTTCTTCTTCTTTATAGAAAGTTAAACAATTGAAATGAAAGTATTTTATTCCTGCACTTCTGTATTGTTTCTTTCGATCAGCTTCAATTGTGATTGTGCTTTCAAAGACGTATCCTCCCTATATCTGTAAATAGGGGATGTTTCAACTCAAGGTACCGGTAGCTTACCTGTCGCATAGCTCTCCAAGTCCGGTAAGGGCATTGTATGTGTCCCGTTAGTAACATACACCTCCCATCGGTAAATCACACCGTCGCAATCAACGACACAGTCCGATCTTAAGCGAAGGTCAGCCGAAGGGTTGATCTTGACCGAGTTTGACTCGGGCGTGAATGGCGTTCCCTGGGCTAAACTGAAATTCAAGATGACATGATGGAATGATATCAAAACGAGGGTAAATATTGGTATTTAGAAATTCTCTAAACAGATTTAGCTCAGTACACTGCGTCGGGGCGCAAATTATACCACGATAATGTTAAGTAGAGGGCTAGCCTTGGTCCACGTTCAATGCTACAGCTTCGTACTAGTCCCCAACAAGAAACATTCCTCACACAGAGGATTTCTTTATGTTGGTGATCGGAGGGAAATACAATGACTTATTGATAGTTTATTGCATTTTCTTTGTTTTTCTTAATTTATGGGGGCTGCCCCCTACCCTAGCCCCTGCTGCGGTACAGTCATGATTCAGTGGCAAAGTAATGGCCTCGTAACTGTGAAGCCCCAGGATCAAAACCGTGTCAACGTGCTTTATTAGTGCCCTTTTGTGGGGCATTAATCATTGTTAACGTCAGTTATGACTTAATGACGTAGGTCCCCTAGTTTTTAGTAGCACACACATGTTTTAGCAATCACGCAAAACAGACACTCGTAAATTATTATTCAATAAAATCTGAGAATTAATATTATTATCTAGATCTATAAGGAATAAATCACTGTCAAAATCATTCCATAAATTGGGGTAAAAAAAAATTATTCCACCTTTATGACCAACAGTGTCACATTCGAATCGTTTCACATCTCCATTTTATACTAGGTAACATTGTTCAGATGATAGAAAATGGCGTTAAGGTGGTGAATTCGATGCTAGATGTACAAAACTGGTCATTCCTAAGTTCTGCCAACCATATTTGTATAATTATATTAAATCTTACGTAAATGGAATCGTCACAAAGCAATGAATTGGCTCTGTAAACCATTCCAAGCACTCAAGTGTTGACATAATTTTAAAAGTCTGTTTTATGTCATGGAAAAACCTCTGGGAGAATTTGCTGTGACGCCTTCAATGAAACCATAAATATCTCTGTGGTTTGAGGTATTTTCAGGATGTTTTGCATGCTAGATGGTTAGTTCAATAGAAGGAATATAATAAATAAATTTTCATTAAAAAAACCTTCAACCATGTTACCGGTTCACTTTAGCGTGGCAACTGTCAAAGGGAGATGTTTACCTTATGACGGGTTGAGGGGGATCCCCGCTGACAATCTTTAGCTCGAACGCGACCTCACCGGAAATAGTTCCTTTCTCGATGACCACCTTCATGTCATAGGTCATGTTATAGTCCATCCACCCGGTGTTGAGGTTAAGACTGCTTTGGTCGTAATTCAGTCTACCGGGACCAGTGCCAAAGCACCCTCCCTCAGAGCCCCCATCGCCTGTTATATCCACTGGTGTGTCAACAAGGGTCTTGTCATTGTTGAGTCGAAATTCCTCATAAAAACGCTTGCAGTAGTACTTGAATACACTGATTCCCTATGTTTGTGTGAAGGATATTTTCAGACAGAAACAAGATGTGATTATGAACCATTTCGAACACTTGGCCCTTGTTAGTCAATAACGGTACCCCTAGACAAGTATTCTACAAATCAATCTATGAACGTGGTACAGGCTTGATACTTGATGCAGGAATTTTTTTGAAAATGTATGGTTTTCTTGTAAAGCTCTGTCCACTGGCTGGCTTTCTATGGAACTGAATAAAACTGCCCAAAACCAAATGCAAGTCATAAGTACACGACGACAGTGATTGGTCGAACATGTCGAAAGTCAATTTGCATTTATTTTTGAAGTCGTGTGTTATCGCTTCCCGTAATGAAAGAAGCCCCATGTATGATAGACATCTGGAATGCAAAATGAGGTTAATATAATACCATTAAGATACCGTCCTATAACTATTTTGGCATAATTTTTTAAGGAAAAATCATTATTGTTTTCATAACCCTTCGACAGTGCTTGATAAGCGGTAAATACAGTTTTACATAAGTGATGACAAATATGAAGAATAAGTATGTTTGCTAGCTCAAGTCCTGGATGACATACCTGGTCAGTTACCGAACTGTCCAAAGAAGGGTCTTTAGAATAGAGCCCGGGATTCAAGTTGAAGTTCTGTCCGTGACCAATTGTAGTTGAAGACAGTTGTCCGTCAACGACCTTAGCTTCCAGACTGAAAGACAAAACATGAATGTACTCTCGAGCACACGCCGTGAAGACAACACCATCTAGCTTACTGCTGTCCATGGTGACACAATAGCTTATGCGGTAGTACCCTGGCGGGTATGTATAGGCGTTCAGCTTGATATCGGCTGTGTTAGCTTCGCCGACGTAGAAGGCGTCAGTCGGGTCAAGATCCGTGAGATTCAGAGAGAGCCCCGGAATGAGTTCGCCACTGGTGCTGTTGAATTCCCGCACTGACCATTCCTTGAAGTTGTCATTGATTTTACAACGGATCGTGGTCGTAGTTTTGAGAGGAACATAGTCGTAGGTCTCTACTCCTCTCGGGTCCATCCATTGTGAGTAATCTTCGCTGAAGGCTACTTCTGGCACGTTGCACTCAAGGTACGTCACAGCGAAGGGTTCCTCGATGACGATATCGGTGACGAGATTGAAACCGTGCACGGCGAAAACGTAACTGCCGTTGTCGGCGTACGTATGCACAAGATTGATGGTATTGGTAAGAGGACCTATGTAGTCCGCCGTGGATGACTTCCAATGCCCCTCGCACACCGTTTCACCGTACATGATGGGTGTCTGGTGGTCGCCGTAGTCAATGGCCAAGCACGAGTTGTATCCGATCTGGCCGATGGTGATGGTGAAGTTCTTGGGCTGGTTTGGAATGGTGATCACCCCTGTTGATACGTCTATTGAATGGATTGTCCTAAAAAGTTGGAATGTGGCACTGATGGTGTAACGTTCGCTTACTGGATTGCTCGCAGCAACTCTTACGGTGTGTTCTCCAGGCTGCGGAAAGACATACATGTAGTAATTAGCTTATCAGAGATCCAACAATGTCCTTTACTACCTCCCCTCAAAAAGGGTATCACTGTACATCGTATCGTTACAACTACTTTATACCTCAATCTAATATATACAATGTACTCATTTGCAAGCTTTTAGTATGACAATGACATCTCATGGCTATTTTCGCAAATACGTAAAGTGTAATAACAATATTGATACTATTACTAGAAAGGAGAATTATTGGACTTTTAGTTTTATCTCAATTCTTAAATGGATTTGTTTTGTTTTGTGTTATTGTTTTGTTCGGGGTGGGCATTTTATGCCTCCTACATACCTCTGTATATTGGCGTGAGAGAGTATCTTCAGTTGTATTTCTAGGCACCGAAGCACTGTCACCAAACTCCAGATATTCGAATGTGATATTAGTTCCTGAAAATGAACATTAAAAGGTGAAATCAGCGGAATGAAGAGTGGCACTTAAAGTATAATGGTTCTATTGATGCATTTCAGTCGTACATACACTGCCATATTCAATGATTTTGTTGATATCATCAATACAAAAAGTATCGTCACGTTCTTGAAATTATAATGGTCTTCTTGAAAAAGGTATTAACCTAAACATGTAGACGGGGTTGTATCACTTTTAATGGCTCACTCTTGAAGAAAAAAATTATCCCTAAACATCATTTACTATTTTCTACAGTATAATAATATCTCGCCAATATCCTCGCTTAACATAAATCCTAGGTACAAACTAATCGCAATTATTTCGCTCTTTTAATCCAAAGTCCTATAATGATTATGGGTTTGGAGGCTTCAGCTTCATGCCCTGTCCAAGCTAAACCTGAGTATCACCACCTCCCCCACACCTCTGGAGCACACGAATCACTTGGACCAAAGAGATCCTCCTTGCTTGGACCAATGCCTCATGGGAAAACTAACAAGCCCCGTACGTTCACAAGGTACCGTCGTAATCATAACTACGGCGAGGGTTCACAAGGGACCAAAACAACGAGTATTCGAAGTTAACTTCAAGCTGGGAAAGGCATTCATTTGAACTACAAGCGAGGTAACCTCAACATAGATTGCGTCCGCACGTCACATAACTCCGAATGAGGACTCGGCCCCTATACCTCCTCCCCCGACTCGTAGTTATCGCTAACCTTAAGATATATCGTAGATTGTAACTTCGAGTTAAATTAAAGGTTTATACTGTTCCCATGGTCCGTAACTACAAGAAATGTACGCACTCAATAAACACGAGTTAACGGACTGTTGTGTGATCATCACTTTTAGGACAACTAGTCCATAAACCCTATTTTCCGGTTGACTAACCTTTAAGATAATTTTCACGTTGTTAAGTTGTCGATTGTATTCTAAGGGAATAATTGTCAAGGGGTATTTTATCAGGGATAGTATCTGTTGTCCTACTGGGTAGTTGTTCTGTAAGGTGTTGTAAGGTGTTGTTACCTGACGAATACACTGGTTTGAAAACGATCGGTCTCTCCAGCGGATAGTTGTCTCCGTAATCCGCAATAGGATCACCGTCAGGGGGTATTTCCGGTTGGTAGAAGACGTCCAAATGGATGTCTGAGGAGATTATGCCGTACAGTTTAACCTAGAGGGTTAAAGATACATGAGAAAGTAACCTTCTTTCGAAAACCTCTCATTCGAATTCGCAATAAACAAGCGTTTCTTACCTTTTATGTCATAATGTCGTATAGAGTAAGCCCTTTCAATTTGAAAGATCTTAAACTGTTATCAGATTACAGTGCATTTCAAGGAATGAATGATCCGACCAGTTTATCATTTACCTAACCTTGGACGAGAGTGGCAATGTAGATTTAATGTCTCGCCAAATGATGTGAGTGCTGTGGAAGAGATTTGATCCCTTTACTTTGTGGTCAACGATCCAGTGACCTATACGCTATGCCACTACACCTCTATATCACATCATATCTTACCTCAACTTCGAGTGTGATTGTCGCAACAAGATTTTTTATAGTCACGAGGACAGTAAAGATGCCTGGAAACTGGACCGGATGGGCGTAACTCTCATGGTCCCCCTCGTTGGAGAGAGTCATCACATGGGTACTATTGTCATAGTAACTGCTACTGAAGGAGATGTTTGCGTCCGTGCCGTAAGGTTTGCCGTTCGACGCGAGAAGCTCTACCGTTATGTTGATGTAACCTAGGAAATAAGGGGCATGGTGAATACCAGCGTTTGTCTAGATTAAAATTGCTCAGGTAATCAACTGTCCCGGAAAGAATAGTATACCCGGGCACACTAAGTTTACCGTGCAAGTTGGAGGTAATAACTGTTCTATTATTAATCGTCTTTCTCTTCCATATTAAACACTCTATCACGTTCAAACTCCTATTTACATTTATAAAATAATAGGTAACTGTGTTCATTTAACATGAATGTCGTAATGATTTCTTTATTTATCTCCGTTTCAATGTGAACATATTTGAACGTTTCCACAAAGTATGTATAAACTCAATTATGACATGAAACAAAGTAATAACATTTTTATACAAAGACAAAATATAAATAATGAAGAACTGAAAAAGAACACGTGAAAATTGTTGACCTAAATGCATATAATATAGGGAGGGTCACGCTAAAGAAGCAATGCTTGTATGATGCAAGCCCCTAAAACTTAGTTACTAAAGAGTTTTGGTCATGAAACTGTATAATAATCACTTTCCTGTTATTCATCACGATTTCTGTTACTGTGGAAACGTCGGAGTGGAAATAAGAAATCTTTAAAGGCAAACCTTACCCTGCTCAGGACTGGGATAAGGGTGGGAAGCGGGAGTGTCCGGCAGGATTCTATAGTGCTCCTCGAGTACAGGATTTTGGATGTAGATGGTTTTGGATGCTGTCTCGTTTCCATGGAGATTAGATGCGGTGACCGTAATAGTGACTAAGCCGTTAGAGTCATCGTAGAAATGGTTGAATACCGGTAGAGCCGCTGTACAAAAGACAAGCAAAATAATGGACCATTGTGGTAACAAAAGGCTGGAAAAAAAATCGACATAAGTCTTACTGTTCTCTGTTCAGAGTGCCAACCATGTTTTAAAATTGGGCAGCCTCTCATGACGCCGCCTTTAGTACTCGTTTACCGACATCTAAACAAAGTGAGCGTATTATTAATGGCGGGGTGTCAGCTATTTTAACTTGTACGCTACTTAATATGATGTTTCATGAAAAAACCTCGAGGTATCTGACATGCATATTACTCTGCTTTGTCTTAAAAAGGTCAGGAGTTAATTTGGAAACGTCAATAATGTGTTCCTATTTATAATTTTGTTTTAATAGACCAGTTAATACCCAAGAATGTATTAGGTTCCAGGGAATGCTTAAATACTTTATGGATTAGCATAAAACTTGCCAAAATTTTGCCTGACAAAAAGTAACTAAGGCCATGAAAGCATTCAAGCTTCGTTCTTACGCTCCGATTGTTCAAATAAAATAATGATTTACTTATAAATGCAATGTTTGTCACATTAACACTGGCAGCAGGGTTTCCTGGCATAGGGCCTCCAGCAGTTTACTTTAATAGAAAGAAAAAGACGACGATCGTCTAGAAAATGCATACAACTTATTTCATTTTCAAACTATCTTTATAGAAAAGCTGTCAAACCACCAGATACTTTCGAGGTACTACGTAACACATACAAATTGTTTCCAAGGGTTGGATATACAGATGTGTACAATTCTGCCTTCGAAGTATGACATTTGTCTGCTTGAAAAGATCACAGCTTCACATGGGCGAACTCAATTCAACTTTGAGTTAAACCCGACTCTTTTCATGCTTGGAGTACGTCATGTTGAAGAAAGTGAAAAACATAGGCCAATTTTTACAAATTAAGTTAAACCAGACCCTGAGTCTAAGAGCACGCTTAACAATGAAAAAAACTTTGAACTAAGACCAACTTCAGTTTTAAACAAAAGTTCAAGCCAAGTGTCGGGTGTAAATTTTTAATAGAATACGAGCCGTAGACTTCCTTGGTTAATTTCGACGGAAGGCCAAGCGTCGGGGTTAAAGTTTAGTACGATACTTGCTACTGTGAGCAGACGTTTGTCTTACATAAGCCAGCAGACACGTTTGTTTCTCCATCTCCCCAGTCGATTTCCAAGTCTATGGGATCCCCTGAATCGACCGATAGTGTCATTGAGATGTTAGCCTCTCTCGCAAAGTACGGCTGGTCCGGGGTGAGAGTTATCTCCAGATCTACAAACGGTAATCACAGCAAAGGAAAATATTGATCAGATCAGTGGGAGTGTGTCACTGATTTTGTTATCGGAAGTTTCAAAATATTACTTTAACCTGTTATGTGTAAAACATATATATATTCTGCCAAGTGCAGAGGGGGTGCGGGGGGTCATATTTAGATACTTTATGAATATGCTGAAGCGGGTTCTTCTATTAAAAACAATAGCCCGAATTTTAAAAAGGAGATTTAAATCTAACCCACGGTTTTTTAAACCGTAGATTATTTAGCCTAAGTTTAAATTTAACCCATGGTCTAAACCAGATTTAAACCATGAGTTACCCCTCCTTTGTGAATTAGGGCCAGTAAGATTGTTTTACTACAAGATGAATGAACACATGTACAACAGTTGTAAACATGTTTGCTTTTACTGATTTCCCACAACAAGCATTTGTTTAATATCATTGGGTTGCTTCTGTTTGTTACTGATTGAATAAAATCCTTTTTTGGAAGAAAAATAACCCAATTCATGAAAGGCTTTGCTATATTTATGGGACATAATAGGGCGTACCATCCCAGTTGAATAAACAAAAACTACGGATATGGCCTTTTCGTGGAAATCAGCGTTCTCCGGCTAACCCCCCTCCCCCCTCCAAGATTTATAAAATAATAACAATTCCCCCCCCCCTCCAATTCCGACGACACTGATGTAAGACGATGGCCGATGTAAGTATCAATATTATATTAATATCATTCTAAATCCCGCTGAGTAGGCAAGTGTTAAAATGTTTGTTATTATTTCTGTGTACAATATTACCGTATTTTTTTTTTTATAAATTTTCAAGGAAAATATAAATATCCAGGAAAGAAAGAGATGTAGGAAAAATGCGAGAGCTTGAGAGATAGAGCGAGAGAGAAAAAATCGACAAAGGATAGGAAGAGAAGTGCGAAAGAAGGGGAGGGGGTTGGGAGTAAAAAAAAAGTGAAGAGAGAGCGTGTGTGAGTGTGTGACAAATTGTGAGAGACAGAGAGAATGTTTTACTCACTGAGAATGGGGATCTGTACCTCGACCACACTTTCAGCCGTGATACCTGCAGAGTCCAGTGTGTTGTTTACTGTCACTGAGATGTTGTTCGTTCCGATATTAGGGTATACGTGCTCCAGAATGACAGAAATGGGATCAATAGCGGTCAACCGAATATGGAACCTCTTTGCTTCTGCGGTAAAGCCGGAGGAGTACGGCGTCCCTGCCACGGGTATCGACGTCGCTAGACTGAACGCCACCGCTTCATCGGTATCCGCAGTTTCATACCTAATTATAGCGGTCCCTGTACTAACCGCGTAGCCTAAGACATCTCCGATTTCTGCAGTTGCGGTTCTGTCTGCGAAGGGTATCTCGAAGTAGTTGTAACCGGTAGTGGTAGCTGTCTTGGTAATGACGTGTCTGACCCTGTAGCTTGCACGACTAGCGTCGCCCGTGGATGAAGCGTACCGGTCCGGTTCTGCATCGCAGGTGGACTCGTCGGATTTCGATGCGCAACGGTGTTCGGATAAACAGAAGACGTGCGTGGACGAATCACAGTAGGTATGATACAAGGGATTGGTCGGCATCGAGGAATCGTAGCCACATTGTGACGTCGTGCACTGGTTGTCAGTTAGGCAGTAGGTTTCACCTGCGCCGCTGCAGAAGGGTTCTAGGATCTATTTTAAAGAAATCGTTAATTTTAAGAAAATCGCCCATGGCCTTTGCACCACAACCATCCTCGTAATTTCCAAAATCATATACTGATATCACAATCATCAAAACAGGTATTAGCGTATAGTGTTATTGTTGTTACCAGTTCTAGTTAAAAAATATTCATTATTGTATGTAATTACAGGTATGTTATTTCCCCGTTGGGGGAGGGGGGCGCAGGGGCCATTATTACATTATTACAAGCAGGAGTGAGTTAAGTTGAGTTAATCCCGTGTTTTAAAGTTTTAAAGTTTACACGCATTTCAATGGGATTTCGGCGAACTTGTACATGTACTATTATGACGGTTTCGGTAAAACGAGTCGAGTACTTTTGTCATTTCTTGAGAATTCGTCTGCTTGAATAATCATCCTCTCACACGAATGCTCAAAAAGTATAAACAAAATTACATATTAAAATAGATAATGTTTACCCCTAGTCCCTACCTATTGTTTTATTGCTAAACGCCACCATGCTTGTAACAATGGCCCGTCCCCCCCCCCCCCCCTCTCAAAAAATACTAAATACTAACTTTAACATTCCAGTATAAACATTATCATAATAAATGTTTTGTTAGTACGATTCGTAACCCTTTCCCTATTAATAAGAGTACCACCATTGATAGTCATGATCGGTATCATCATGCTATGCAGCACCATACTCATACCAGAAAGTTAATCGTCCCGATAGCTTCCACGTTGACCTCCACCGATCGGATGACCCCATTATCAAGAAACTCCTGGCCCGGTAAGATCCATACGGTGTCTGATAAAACGGCGTCACTTTGTAGGGTGGACAGGGCATGTTGCGAGACAGTTCCTATCGAGAAGGTATTTGGTGCTGCGGGGGAAAAAAGGTGGAAAAACATGCTAGATATTAGTGGCGAATCCAGGATTCAAATGGGATGGGAAAGTGCAAACGTGGATATCTGCTCGTGTGTATTTCGGAATAGACCTGTTCAGGTTACAAACGTTTAAATTGTATGCGTACTTTGCCGACAAAGGTTGTTCTTGACAACATTTGTTAACTTTGTCCGAGGCTTGCCCGACATAGCAACAAGTTTTATATGTAGACTGGGTTCCGAGTTTTATCGTTCATTCAATAATAACAGGTTAATGGATTAACTCATCACTACGTCCCCAGGAAGGAAACATCCATACATTTGGATATGTTAATAAACGGGTCTTTTAGAAAAAAACATTGACTTAAAGCTAGAGTGCATCTCTTTTAACCTCTCATATTTGCTCTCTTCTAGAAAGTAGGTCATCATGAGAAGAAATACATATATATATATATATATATATATAAATGAGGTACCGCGAAGTATTTAATCCGTTTTTAACACGATCGCTACTACTTTAGAAAATTCATCTCAATGGCACTTTCAATACCCTATTGTAATGTCCCATAGAAATCAAGTCCAGACTACGTAATGCCATTTGTCATTTGTTAAATAAAAAATGATTTTAAACAATTTGAAAGTAAACCCCTAAAAAGCGTTTGGAAACACCAGTAGGATCGCCTATATCTCTCTTGTCATGGCATAATCATCGCTATGGAAATTACCAATATAACATGGGTTTATTCCTTTTAAAAAATTATAACCCATTCGTTATGATTTCTCAGTCATGGAGCGTGCAGTAGATCTAAATAAGGGCCAAGGTCAAAAGTGAAAAAGTTGCAAAATGCACTGCTCTTGTTCGACTATGCACTTTGATTACCCTACTAACCTATGCATGATGCTTCAGAAAGTTGATGGTAGCGAATCTTATCTGACATGTTACCATAGTGCACGAATATCAGACTTCACACATCACACTCTCTTTTTTCAAAGAAAGAAGAGTGCTCTGTATTACAATATTAATGCTAACCAGTTCATTTTGCAACTTTTCACTTTTTTTACCCTGCCCCTCATTCTCATGTACTGCTTACTGGCTGAAAATCACAACAAATAAGGTACCATTTTAAAGAGGAGTAAACACACTTTCCAATGATAATAATCAAAGTGATGCATGATTATGCAATGATAAGAGAGCATTTATCGATCCAACTTTAGTCTATTTTAAGGGGTATAATTATTATTATATAATACTTGAATTCAAATACTTGAATTCAATAAATAGATAAATAAAGCAATTGAATGTATTGCATTTTCCCATCACAATACACTGAAGTAACATCATCCGTAATTCTGAACCTACTCCCAATGTGGTATGAACTTCCGATGTTCGTCGACAGGGTCATATCAGAACCGTCGGTAACGGTGATCGAGCAGGTGAACGATGTCGATGGTTCGACTACCTCCGGGCAATCCATCTGGACATCGGTAATACCCATGTAGGCAGTGATTTGCGCACCGGCGAAGGCACTCTGTGCAAGGGATATAGACAAAAAATAATCACCATCACCATCATCATCATAATAGTAAGTTCTTATAGAACGTTCATGCCTGTCGAACTTGACTCCTGGCGCTCCACAATTATTATTACCCCGGCTTTGCATTGTCCAGCTTCGTATTTGCCGAACTTTTCGGGACGTATTTCTCGGTCCTTCCTGAGGACAAAGGACAAATTGGTGATATCCCTGTGCCCTGTTACCTGATGAAAGAACGGGATAGACCCTTACACTTTCTGAATTATTGTGGATCCAATATCTGGAATAACGTTACGTATTACAAAATATAGGGTTATAGACGCAACATAAATTTAGTTCACAATGATAAAGGGAAAACTTACCTATTTGTAGTTTTCATAAGATTTAAAACCTCATTCATACCGCGAATCACACTCCACACTGAATCCAAAAACAGACTGATTCTTTAACCATTGGGGGGGGGGGGGGGGGTAATATCATTATTTGTCCAGTCTGTTGTCGGTCTGCTGTTGGTCTCATCAGTCTGACTTGGGTATAAGTCTATTATAAAGCTCCATACATCTTTCAAAAGTTGGTGATAACCCATACAGATAATTAATACTTAAACTCAATAAAACAATGATATTAAAAAGCAATCGAAATATTTCATGTACATAAAAAAGTATTTTATGAGTACATTTCTTTGTTTAGTTTACCGGAAAGTGAAAACTGTCAAGCACCTGAAACATTAAACTGTTAGATTTCTTATCATCTAATTTCTGTAGGTCTGCATAATTGTATGAAATTCAAAGGCAATGCAGAGCAGGAGCACACCCTTGACATTGATATATACTCAACATGAGGGGTACCCCCCCCCCCTACATACACACACACACACACACACACACACACACACATCCCCGCGCACACATGCACAAGCACACTAACATCCTCATTTGCAAAGAAAACTCACCGAGTAGCTGTTCTTAGCAAAGATGCTCGCAACATATTGACCGGGGACTGCATACACGTGATTCATTGTCACCACTGCGTCGTCAGCCGTAGCATGCGATCCGTCACCATAGTCGAACGACGTTGTCACTGAAGCTCCTGTGACGTCGGGTTGAAGGGACCGAGGTTGCCCAACAACGAAGACGTCACTGGTGCTGTTGAGCTGCACCGCTGCGCGCGTCAGGACGATGCTGAGTACCGTGTCGCTCTCGGCTCCCCCGCACTCCTGAGAGACGTCACCGCTGCATGTGCGGTCACAGGTGCTCACTATGGAACTGGAGTAGGTATTGTCACTGCACAGACAATAGCGACCCATTGTAAGAGCGGCATACTGGTAGTCGAGGACTGCACAGGCATCCGCGCAGGTATCATGGTCAATATCGTCCGGGTCATAGTCACCAGCTGACGTCACAAAGATGCGATTGCTGACGTCGACCTTGTAGCATCCTTGTATGTTAAACGCCGCTGAAAAAATGAACAAATCGGAAAAAGAATTGTGGATTTAGACTTAGCAAGCTAGGTCAGGCAAGCTTGTAATTCAACTTTCTTCCCATAAATCTACCTCACTCCTGCCCCACTGCCAGTTACCCCTGGACTACAGCTTTTCCGCACATCTACCTCCGGAACACTTTACCAAAGAAACCCCGGGACTATCGCCTTGTGGGACAATTACCACCTGCACAGCTACCCGCCGTACAAGTACTGTCAAGATCAACTTTACCCCCCATATAAAAAATACTGGCGGGCAACTCCCCCCCCCCCCCCCCCCCCCCCTCTCTTAAAATACCTCACTTACACACTCGAAAAGAAGTCTTAACATAAGGATACAGATCTCAAATTACAAGAAGAAAGTGTTCACTGAGTCAAAAACATCAAGAAAACGAGAGTAGTGTTCATTTATTATCAAACTTAATTTTGGGCAAAGAAAATGTTTCAGTGGTAAATAGATTTGCCTCCCCTGAAGCCAAACTAGAGAAGGCTGATGGTTGTGTTGCAGAAATAGGACGGCGCATATTACTTGGAAAATACGGCAATGTCCCGGCGTGATAACATAATGAAAGATAAAGATGTATTATAAGCAAAACAACAAAGATGAGGATGACAATCATCGTTAGTCTTCCCCATAGTGCTGTATGGAAGGCAATACTGGACAGTAAAAACAGCAGAAAGAAATTAGACTTATTTAAAATGTAGTGGTGGATTAGGATGCTAAGAATACCACAGACAGTCTGGAGAACAAACAGATCCGTGCTTGATGACCTACAACCAAGCTGTTCCTTGGAGGCTGTGAACTATAGACTTGGTTGATTTAGGCGGTAGTTGTATGGGGGTAGTTGTCCAGGGGGTAGTTGTCCTAGGGGTAGTTGTCCGGGGTGATTGTCCGGGGGGAGTTGTTCTAGGGGGTACTTTTCTGGGGGTAGTTGTCCTAGGGGTAGTTGTCCGGGGTGGTTGTCCGGGGTAGTTGTCCTAGGGGGTACTTGTCTGGGGATAATTGTCCGGGGTAGTTGTCCTAGGGGTAGTTGTCCGGGATGGTTGTCCCGGGGGTACTTGTCCTAGGGGGTACTTGTCTGGGGATACTTGTCCAGGGGTAGTTGTCCTAGGGGTAGTTGTCCGGGATGGTTGTCCCGGGGGTAGTCGTCCTAGAGGGTGGTTGCCCTAGGGGGTGGTTATCCGGGGTTGGATGTCCAGGGGGTAGGTGTCCTGATACGGATTTAGACACACTTTAAGATAAAGAGTATGTAGTAGGATAAAAGGGTAAAGAAAAGAAGAGGAAGGTAAAGTATTAGATGGATAGAATGTGTGACCATAGAAACATACAAGTCCTTTAAAGCTTATCTGCCGTAGTTTACAGGAGGGATTAGACTGCCCTGCAAGGTCACTGGACAGGTGGTTATCTCATCAACTCAGCTCTCAATTAACATAAGAAAAAGAGGACCATGGGGGACCAATGGTCACCGATTAGGCATTGTTTGGTATATAGAGGGCGCAAGTAGCTACAAGTAGTGCAGAGGGCCTTTAATGTGTTGTGCAAACTTTCATCACAAAGTAACCTGTAGAAAGTTTGCCACGGCGGCGTGACCAGGAGTCGGGGACGACTCGATAGCACCTCACAATAGATGTCCTACTATATAGCTGTAATGGTTAGGGATAATTGGCCTGTTTTTGTTTTAACTCTCGAACCATTACTCTCGCCATATGTGATTCCGATGGATTTGATATATTTACAGCCCCACGACAACTTGTGCATGCATATTTTTACTATAGGTTTTCCCGCCCAACTTCGCAAACTTAGCATCCGAATTAACGTTACGTTCATTCAAGTTCGTGCGAAATTGAATGACTATGTAGATCAACATTCAAAAAGCTAATTGCGTCATTCAATTTGGTTTAGTGGTATGCGATTTCATACTCTTGTCACGGAGAAGTGCAAAACGAGCATTCAATTTAGAAAAGCGTGCAAAGAGCATTCAAATTCGCGCCGGACAGACGGTGGTATGTATTCGTGCATTCAATTTCATGATTAGGCATAATTATGTGACATTTGTGCATTGCTTTTCATTTGATGTTAATTAATTTGTCACTCAATATACTTCTTTTTGAATAATTTTATGCAAAGTTTACTTGGAGGAATGGCATGCGTATTTGTAAGTAGATATATGTCATTATTACACAGGTAACTGTCCCCAGAGAAGGTGCACAATTTGTGACTTCTCTTATAAGCACCTGCTATACAGTATATGAACAGATCCTGGACAGAGGTAGAGTTCAGCTTTAATAGACATGGACATGATGGAAACAATACAATGATGAATAAAGAAAAAGATGTTAAATGAAAAGAAAGAACGATCACGTACTCAATCAAGATTGATAAAACAAACCATTAAAAAAATAACCTCAAAGACATTTATAATGAAAAATATGAAAATATGAATAAAAAGATGTTTCAACGAAAATAAAGAATGTCGAAAGAAAGAGAAAACATAAAATGCAATATTAATATATCAGACAAATGAGAAGATTGTATAATGTGAAATCATGTCAGAAAAGATCATAGAGAAAAAGAATAAATAAATGAACATGAAATACTGAATATCCGAATAAACATCGAGCCTCATACAATGATTATGAGGTCTAGTTTTAATTTGAATGACCCGATTGCGAAAGAGGTTGCCCATAGACGAAAATGAAATCGCAATTCGCCATAGAATTCTCCTCCCGCTCAACATTGGCGAAATTAAATGACCCTTATACGCATTTCCAAATTGACTGAACCAAGCTTTAATTTGAATGTGCATGTTTAGACAATTTGGTGACTCGAAATTGAATGCAACAAGTTTAAAAATGAAACAGGGGAGCAACGAGTGAAGAAAATTTGCTCGAACATGAATGCACGTTAATGAAATGGATTGCTGCTTTGACGAAATTGGCCGGGAAAACCTATATTAATTCTACAGATGTTATATTTGAATCGACTCGATTTTGAATTATTATGCATATGAAATACGTAAATAGACAATATTGAAGTACACGTTAACTACACGTGGATTGACATAAGAGGACAGTGCTTTATGCTTTACTTTGTACATACTATATTGAATTTCAATATGGATTTTTCATTAGTGCTGGGGTTTTTCATTGCTACTATTTACATGACAACTTACATTTGTTAAGGTTAACTTAATTATACATGTAATAATATCATTAGTTTAGTGACGGGCTACCCAGGGGCCCGTTTCATAAAACTTGATATCAATAACAAGCTACAAACTACTGTTATAAGCTACTGAAATCATGGCATGTAATTGGCTGAGAGCAAATTTGTCATAGAAATTTAGCATTTTTTATAGATAAACATTTTTATGAAACGGGCCCCTAGCCCTGTACCATAAGGGTTACCTTATTATATTTTAATGAAAGACGACCAGGATCGTAAATCGCATGAAAATGTTTTCATATTCCTAGTCTGATATAATATACATTTAAAGTGAGAGAGATGGAGAGGAAGAATGATTGAACAACATTTTGTAATTCCAAAAGAGAAAAACTAATTGGATATCAAATGTCACCACTATATCAAATTAACTCGTTACGTTAGATTTCATATATACATTACCACAACTGTTTTTATTCATGAATAAACCACGATCCAATTCATTCGCATGCGCATTTTTGTATGATAGCCTTGAAATATATTTTCGAAAGGTGGGCTCTTTGGAGAGGCAACAATGTTATAAAAATTTCTCCGAATTACATCAGAAAAGATATGAATGACTTATTTAGGATCAATTTTACCGCGTTACAAATATGATATGCTTTTAAAAACGAACTTTCCTTTTTTTACCGACATATAACCAAAGCAGACCAGCAAGGCCGACAAAGATTGAACAAGAAAAATAATCACTTTAACCGGAATGACCAAGAAACGGTTGGCTTGGAGTCGGTTAGTAATCAGTGTGGAGTCGGTACGTGTGACTAAGTTATCATACTTTATAACGTTATTCCTTTCTTTCTGTCCTTTCTAAATTTTCTACCTAGCGGTCTCATTGTCTATATTGTAAGCCAAATCATTGAACATGGAATGACTTCCACGACAATGTCAAATGTCAAATAGTGACTTGAGTTGTAAGAAAGCGTAATACTGAATATGGCTTAATGATTGTTGAATATGAATCGGCATTGTGTCTCTTGTCTTTTTAATTTGTTTGGTGCTGTCTAATAACAATAATTAAAAACAAACCTCTGACGTGATTGAGGCATATTTTCAAATACATCCCGCGTCTGATTTGCTATAATGAATTACTGTATAACAATAACTCACAATGAACAATGCTCACTATTTCTATCGTTCGCGCCAAGTTGAGCCATGCGGGATTACGAAATAATATCATCAAATCCATGCAATATCAAATTTTAATTGTTCACGAGCTCCATGACGTGCGGAGTTTAATATCCCAGAAGGCCAGCATCTAGATAGATCGAACAAACCAGCCAATTTTATTTAATTTCCTGGCAATCAATAATCTCCATGGTGAAATTGGAAGCTTGAATAATGACCCAGCGGCAAAACAAAGTGCGGGAATGACAATAATGGATCTTTTTGTGATCTGACTGCAGAGCTGGTTACCATGCAGGCGTGTAATTAAGGGCCAGGCTATTGACTGGAAATCGATAGTGATTTATCGCGCTAGTGATCGTGAAATCGTTTAATGAAAGAAGGGGTGGAATCGTCATAAATTCAAGATGTTTATATTTCCTACTTATGTTTACATAATTCTACCTTTTATTACTGCTGCGCTATTTCCCCCCTTTTCTCCATACCTATCTTTTCTTTCCTAACAGTAACAATGCTTAAATTCTTCTTCCTCTTCTTCTTTTTCTTCTTTTTCTCCTTCTTCTTCTTCTTCTTCGTCTTCTTCTTCGTCTTCTTCTTCTTTTTCTTCTTCTTCTTCTTCTTCTTCTTCTTCTTCTTTTCTTCTTCTCCTTCTTCTTCTTCTTCTTCTTCTTCTTCTTCTTCTTCTTCTTCTTCTTCTTCGTCCCCCTCTTTCTCTTCCTTCTTCTTCTATTTCTTTTTTTTTCTTTGTACTTCTCCTTCTTTTGGCGGAACTTAGTGAAGTAAAGACAAAAGTTTTCATTCAATCCCTTTCTAACGATCCTGGGTCTGCCCCACATGCATTAGCATGAGAAGGAGGAGGAGGAGGAGGAGGAGGAGGAGGAGGAGGCGTATAGGATGCGGAGAAGGAGGTTTTGAGGAGGAGAAACATTAGTAGAATAACAGCAAATACTTCTACTACTGCTCTTGTTGTTGTGAGTTACCTTGTAAATTTAATTTAAATTTTAAATTACTAAAGGGCCTGCTGCACTATTTTCACGGTACTAAACCATATTAAAATCAGCAATCGTCTCAAATTTATGTCAAATGCATACTGCCTTGAATAAAGAATTATACAAATCGCGTTGTATACAGTTTCTGATGAGCATATTGCTATAAATTTAAACAAGTTATGGCACAATTTCGTGGTGTGAATACACGAACCTCAATCTAACTGTGTAGACCATATCTTCATTTTTTTTTTTAAATTCCGTTTGCTCTTTTTTTTTATTTGTTGAAAATGCAGCCATTGTTCTCAAATGCGGGTTCGTGTTTCATTGCGCCGTATACACCCACTTTTTTTGGAAAGGTCATTAGCAATTGATTCAAATTCATTATTCTCTATTCACTTCACTGCCAGATCGATATCATCGGAGCAACTGTAAATATGGAGAAAAAAGGGCCCTGAGAAATGCAAAGAATAGAAAATGATAAAACCGTTGCCTGGTAACGTTTTATGGCGGCGCTAAAAGTGACATTTCTTTATACATATTTTATGACCATGTTTGTTCTAGGATGGGGGCTTTTAAAGATGTGTATTGCCAAGTATTTCTTGTCTGGAAGCGCTGGTCTTTGAAAGGAAATTTGTAATGTGTTGCAGTTTACCACGTCCCGGGTTCAAACAGATAAAGCGGGAACTGGTTAAGCCCGCGTCCTTAAAAGTTACTGTTTGAGCGTATCTTTTGGCATTAATCATTATCCACTCATACATAATCATAGATTCATTTGTACATTTAAACAAATGTTTTAGTTTGAGTACGGGTAGTAGTAGTAGTAGTAGCGGAAGTAGAAGTATTAGTAGTGGTAGAAGTAGTAGAGGTAGTAGTAAGAGGAGGAGGAGGAGAAGGAGGAGGAGGAGGAGGAAGACAGAGGAAGACAGAGGAAAGACTAAAGAAGACTGAGTTTCATTTAGGCATATCAAATAGCAACATTCGATACATACAAGTTTAGAAATTACAATCATTTACAGGCAAAGCTACCATTATTTACGGAGCTACCAAATACACAGGTGTACACCCCTATCTCTCCTCCCTTATCGAATGGCGAAAAAAGGGGAAAACAATAAACAGTGAAAGGAAGGGAAGAAGGGGTAGAAGAAAGTGAAGTGAATATGATAAAACTCCCTTCCACACCCATGCACTTAAAAATAAAAATTATAGCATGTTTAATTCATATTTAATTGATTTAATAAAAAACATGGACCCACTATTAAACAAAACAACAACAATAAGGGCAGTGCCTATTTTGACTTTCCTAAGGGTAAAAATTACCCTCTCCAATTATCGAATAAAACCTGAAAATAAAGTAAAAACAAACACCAAAAATGCAAATATTTCTTATATCATACCCCGTGAGTACATAGCAAATTAAATTGCCATCCATGGGTATGGCGTACCCGGGCAAAAGGCAAACACTGTCTACTGTTTGAAATCTGGTTTTGTTCAAACATTCATTGAAGCTTATGACGCCATTTATTAGACAGAGGATCAATACACGGGACAGTGGAAGCTAAACATTTCGAGCAGAAATGTGGAAAATCGATGGGTTTGAGACGACATTGTTGCAAATTTACAAATAGATGGTGAGAGAAGTGACAAAGAAAGTAACCAAATATAAATGATTCATAAACCAATGCAGTAGTCAGTGTAATACTGACGCGGACAAATTAATCCGATAGCTAGGCTATCATAAAATCTAATTAATTAGAAAATATATTTTTATATCAGAAACATCGTGAGGAATTTCAATATTTGGATTACTATTTTGTGTTACTATCTGTCTACCCCCATGTCTGTTTATATACCTTTCTTCCTACTGTCTTTGTCTCTTTCTTTCTTTCCCTGCCTGTTTTTCTCTCTCCCTTACTCACTCTTTCACTCTCTCTCACTCACTCTCTCTCTCTCTCTTCCTCTCTCCCTCTATCTCTCTCTCTCTCGCACTTACTATTCTTTCTCCCTTTCACTCTAAAATTAACTAATACTAAAAAAGCTCTCTGTATACTCTCATCTTTAAATTCTTTATCATTTTCTCACCCCAACCTTCCCGATCAACTCTCTCTCTCTCTCTCTCTCTATCTCTCTCTATATATCTCTCTCTCTCTCTCTCTCTCTCTCTCTCTTTAGATATATCCTTCTCTGTCTCTAGATCTCCCCCAATCTTCACCATCTCTTCCTAATAAGCCAACCAATATTAGTCACTTCTTCGAGACACTCTCTGCTGGATATGGTCTCTCCATGATATCATCGATCAGTCCTAGCCATAAACTAATGACAGACCACCTACCAGTCAAGTGTCTTTACACAGGGTGCTATGAAGGATAGCATAAGCACCTAGCAAGATCGATGTATGTATTAATGATCGCGTATGGATGCTATAGGAAATGCTATTCATACTCTTGCAGTCAGCGGTGTCGCAGGACATTTTGAAAGATATTATGGGGGCGGGGTGGGATCGGGCCAAGGGTACTTGGAAGAGGAGCAACAGTATAATCTCAGTGTGCTAACTAAAAATCGTTCCTGCCATACGTTTGCAGTCAGGGGCATAGCCAGTGCGTTTTGAATTTGGAGTGTAATGGATATTCGAAAAGGGTGTTTGGAAGAAGAAATGTAAGGGTATGGAAAACCTTTCATACTTAAAACGACGAAAACGTAAAGCTTAAAATGAGTTTTAAGTAATAACATAAAAACTCATTAAAATGCCAGTAAAATCAAATCCAATTTCGATGTGATTTTGATTTGATTAAATTTTATTTATAGTTGGCTACGTTTTCAATATTAAACCTTTTTCTTTTAAACATAATGACAAAGACTTTAAAAAATTACCCTAAGGTTCAGCTGCATTGTGCATAACAATTAGAAAAGAAGCGAACTCTAAAAAGATGTATACAATTTCCCATCACAGGTTGCTTTACATAGTTAGGGTTAGGATTAGGTTTTACGAAAACAGTAATGATATTGCGTTAAATTTTATATCAAAAGTAAAAATCCATTCTGCTCTGAATTGCTTTTAGTTATCACATCGATCTCAATTCCTCCAAATAGGTTCAAGTTAAATTGTAACTGTATCAAACCAATTGCTTGTAAAATCGTGGGGAAAAAAGGAAAAAAGAATGTCAATGCTTTGTTACAATCTGATACATTGCCAGGATATAAGATATACATTAATTCCTTGAAATGCTATAGAGCGCCGTAATGGCAGCCATGCTAAAGCTAGGGTAATAATTTCTAAAGCTCTTTGGAAGCGCATAGAGACAATATAATGTGATTTACGCTAATCAATGTAATTTTCATAATAATATCTATAATGTTCTTTCGGTAACTGTGTTAATTTATTATGGGCGTTCCCAACTCAAGCTACGCTTTCCGGGTTTTCGCCTCCTTCCGTATCTGAATTAATTACTGTATACTCTATGTTGAAATCATTGTTACATATATCACGTATATATACATTGTGTTTTATATTGTGCTGTTGAGAAGGAAATAAATGTTAATAAATACAAATACAAATATTGTTATCATTTCATTCTAAAATGCTAACAAAATCATTTAGATTGAGTGAGTACTTACCATCAGTTTGAGCGTACAGCGTCTGTAAAATATAAAGAAAAATAAGTTTCAGCAGGATCAATTTAATTTCTTTGAATTAAAGCTACATTAAATATAGCTCGTGTATAAAATATTTAAAATATTTATTGCCACATCATCGGGTTCTTTCAAATGCTATTTCAGAGGATTGCGCTGAATATATTTTAAGATGCGGTGTTGCATATGCTATTCTCCCGATTAGAATGATTAGGATACTACTGAATCGAAATGTAATTCCTTTTTAAAAGAAGATCAATCAAATCATGAATTTCATCTTCAGATTATTTTACAGTGGAACCTGTAAATAAAGACCACTCAAGAGAAACATGAAAAGTGGTCTTTACAGGCAGGTGGTGCTGATGTACAGGTTCCTTCAGTGCATGTTTAAATGTAAAACCATACTCAAGGGGAAAAAATATTGTGGTCTTTATAGACAGGTGGTTTTTCAATACAAGTGGTCAATAAAGCAGGTTTGACTGTATCTAAACAATGTCAATTATGTCATCAATCTCATATATATATATATATATATATATATATATATATATATATATATATATATTCACTTTCTACCCTATTTGCGTTAGCTTGTTCGCGAAGGAAGACCTGCGGGTTAAAATGATAATAATAATGAGTATTTATAAAGTGCTATTTCGCAAAGAAATGTACAGGGCGCTTTGGTTAGTAAGTGAGCCGTTTCCATAGCAGTGAAACCATACTAGGACAGATGGAGTTTTTAATCAATTTTCTCTTTTTGTATATGAATATATTGTTTATCTTGATATAGGCTATATTGACAACATGAATATTCGGCGTAAATATTCATAATTGAATGACACACGCCGTTAAAACTAAAACAACAACAACAACAACATAATACAAACAAATTAATAAATGAATAAAATAAAAACGATATACAAGTTTTGCAAGGAAGAAACAAACTATCTCATAATAGGGGAATCGTAAAAAGTGCCAAACAAATGCTTGAATGTTTTAGAAATATCCCATTTACAAAGAAAGCATAAGTTATAACAAATCGTACAAAATCGAATAAATTATCCACATTTTAAACAGAACCAAGAAGAGAAAAAATTCAATTTGTGAAGCATTCAAAATAAATGTTAAAGTAGTCTATTCTAAACCACTATGAAAGATTGTTATAAATTTGGTCGAATACATTATTTTACAGTCGTCGATTTTTCCTCTGTCTGACTATATAACCTCTAATGGCTTTGTATTAAATGTTAGTTACACAATAATTATTTTTTCATTTTATGGTTATATAACTGCAACTGTCATTTTTATCATTATTATTGATGTTATTATTATTATATTAGGCATATTATCATTAGAAGTAGAAGTATTTATGTTATTATCAGTATTGTATTCATTATCATTATTATTACTATTACATATAATCATTATTATCATTATTAATAGTGTTATCATTATTATCATTGACATTAATATCTTATTGTTTGTTTTTTGTTCAATTGTGAAGATTAGAAATGAGTTTAACCATCCCCTTTTTACAAACGAAATACAAAACAATATTAATACATAGACTAAATGAAATTCTTAAACATTTATTTGTAACGGATTGTCATAAATTAGATATAGACAAATTAAAATGAATAAATAATAATTTCAACTTACCAGGCTCCAAACTATTACGACAACAAAATTTTTGACTCCCATGATTTGATTGTATTCTCATCAACAAAAAATCCACAGATACACATACAAATATTGAATATTCTAAAGTAATATTCCAGACATGATTCTCTTCTGTCAACAAGTTTTTCTTCTACCTATCCCGTATTCAGCGTGAATTTGTCCTGATATGGCCAGAGAATACGGAGAATTCAAGCTATGTTAACTTGCCAGATAGGACGAGCGAAGTGATGACTCGAGAATGAATTGATTATCATGTCGATTTGACTTTCGATGCGTTTACAAAAATTGCAACGATGCTCGTCGACTTGTGCGCGCTATATTCAGATAAAAGAACATCCTCTCTCATCTCTCTTTCTCTCTCTCCCCCATCTCTCATTGTTATGCGCAACGCACACAAATTCACACACTCATCTTTATTTCGATCTCTTTCATTGGCTAAATCCCATTTCTCACTCTCCCTCTCTCTTCCTGTCTTATAGTGATTTTCTTGAAATAAAAAAAAACATTTACAAATTTATAGTTCCTAATATTCTGTTTTCAATGTTTATTACGAAGCTTTTAGCTATGTCGAAAAGGTAATTACTTGCCCTGTAGAGTGATTAAGATTGTTTAAGATTGATAAAGATGAATACTATAGAGGGTTTAGCTTCGTTACAAGAATAATATTCATCTTAAAATGAAATCTGCTTTAGTCTACATATTTACTCTGTCCCCACTTGATGCATAGTAGGCCTACCAATTATATGCATGAGTGGTGATATGTAATAATGTAACAATGCTACGAGCATCGCGGTTGCGAGACCGAGCGTAGGGACCAAGTTTTGGGCGGTCGATTTTTAAGGTTTAGAGGGCTATGACGAAATATCCATCCTAAATGTATAAGATTTCAAAAGGTAGCAAAACATGAAAACGTCGTTGAAATTGTCTTTCTCTAAAGTGTACCAATCACCTGAAATGAATTTAAAATAAAAGTTTACTTGGCATTCTATAGGTAAACGGTTATGTAGTATGAATAAGAACTTTAATGATAACATAATAGGGCTAGCACGGAACCCAGTCGGACTTGGGTTCCGTTAACGCCTTATCTATGCGAGTGTGTACGCGCGCGTTAAATAGTCTTCTCAGACAACAAGACGTTTTACTGTTTTTAATATAATGTATCTATTATTGCAATATTTCAATGTAGAAGTAATATTTGAAGCTCAAATTTCAGCCACATGAAAGCCCATACATCAAAAGCAAAACCTGTTTCGGTGAGTGGTACACTTTACATTTTCATTTGTATATCAAATGAATTAGGCGTTTTAAATCACAAGTTTGTTTACGACACGTACGCACTCTCAAAAGAATCCATTCTACTCTTCGAGAACAAGTTTACCTGAAGCTTTCCAATAAGTATTTTCTCAAGCAGTTCAAAGTAAAGCTATAGGAAATGCAACGTGGAATATAACAAGTTAGATCTTTATGAAAGGAGGTTGATAGTGGTTACGCTCAAGCGATTACTCAAAAAAGACTTCCTTCTATTTCCATAAATTATTTTGAAAGACAATTTGTACAAGTACCCAAAACTATTTCCAAATACATTTCTGACTCAAGGCCGGCTTAAACGATTCAGTGAGATCCATCCGTTAACATGTAAGGAAAATCCGTGGCATTTTTTTAATTCCAGGCACATTTTTCCAAACCTACCTCTCAACAAAGGTTCATTGCACTTGTTGATAGTGCTGTTAAACGTTTAGACACAATTGTGAAATACCATATTGAAAAATTGAGTCTCGCATATTGTCAGCGTGTATTTTGTTTTGTCGTGCTCTGTTGTGTTTTTCCATTATGTTATTAACATCAGAACCAATTGCTGAAGACCTTCAGCCTGTTGTTCTGGTGACTTGCAAACTAATGATACACGCACATATTTGATTTCATTACAGACACTTAATTAACTCCAATCAAATGCAGTGCAATATTATGCGGCATTTGCGAAAGTAGGTTGTTAAATTTGTTCATTCAGTATGTTAAATCTACATTAATGTTTAGGGTGCGATTAAAAAATATACGCATGTGATGACAGTGTCGGATTGAAAGGGTATACCACTACTGTAACCACCCCCATACTTTGGTGGCAATATCTTGCCATGGACCTAGGTCCACGATCTTGCATACCGAAGTGGGCCTACAGTTACAGAAAAAGAGGGCCTTCTGATCGTGTTATTGTGCCCTCTCCTCCTTGTAACAGACTTCTGGATCCGCCCCTGTGCAAAATATGACAACTGCAATGAAATAACCAAGTGGTGGAAGAGAATAGTAATTGATATCGTTGGTAGAACCTTGCAAAATAAGTGGTCCGTGTATTTAAGCTCACATCCGAACTGGAGCGTTAATATTGACGAATCTGGTGGAGCTCACTTGGTAGCTGAGGTATTCGTCGCTATGGAAACCATTCAAACATTTAGCGCCATTATTTGTATCGGGCGACGCGACAACGACTAATTGAGTAGGCGCTCCCGTTGAATATTGATTTTATTTTCTCTGATGCCCCCTTTCTCTCTCTCTCCCCCTTCTCTCTCTCTCTCTTTCTCTTGGTTTGTCCTTCTCTTTCTAACTCTCTCTCTCTATCTCTCTCTCCCTCTCTCTCTCTTCATCTCCGTTTTTTCAATTGTCTCTCTCTCCCTTTCTCTCACTTCTAGTTTCTGTCTATCTTTCCCGATTCTACATCCCAAAACCTATTCACTTCCCTCTCTTGTATTTAATACCTCTATTGTTTTCTCAATCAATATCCTTCCTTCCCTGTTTCATATTTCCCCTTTATATATACATCAAAAAGTCTACCTTGAAACTTGGCTAATATGTCTTTATTGTTTATTTTTCACCTATATTCGTAATATTCATGTAATTCCTTTTTTATTTATTTCCCTTTCCCTCACTCTCAAAACCATCAAAACCATCTTTGTGCTTTGAATCATTGTTCGAGACTGCTTTGTTCGATTTAATTGCGATTTGATTAGTTTTCAAATCCTTTTGTGAATCACTGCGTTGGTTTTATTCCGCCGTTTTATAATTATATGCATTGTTTATCTCATCTATAAATAAAATGGTCTGGTCCAATTAGTTGCGGACGCTTTGTGAAACCCCTACTGCAAATCTATTTACGAAAGATGCATCTATTTATGATCTTCTGCTTTCTTTTTATTTGTATCGTCGATGGTTTAGTACTAGTTTCAAAGTTGTCTGATTTGTTGTTCATTGAATCAGGCGAATAAAGGGCTTGCATCGTTCTTTTCAGATCGTGGATTTTAAAGTATTCAGTTCATTTTGGCCTAGACACCGTCTGGGCCATTGTGTTCTTAAAGCGAATTTTGAAAAACGCATGATGGGTGACTTCAACATAGACTTGTCGACCACAGACGCTTCCCCCTATGACACTATTTTACAAGCGAACCCGCTCATGGGCACCATTTATAAACCAACAATAATTACGAAAAACTCATCAATATTGATTAACAATACCCTTGCCAATGTAATTACTTAACGTAATAACTGTGAATGCTGGTCATACTCATACGTATATATTTAAATATCTTATCACATTCCCAGATTTGTTATTTGTCATAAAGGCCCAATGTCCAATACAGAACCAAATAAAACGTCAATGTCTCGTAAATGTACAGCAGAAAATATATTAATAGATGTATCCCCAAAACTTATCATAAGTGGACTATAAGAAAAATTCCAAATTCCTGGATAATGAAAGGATTTTTTATCTTTTGATTTAAAAAAATAAAAAAATAAAAAAGTTGTGAATGAAACCCTAAAGAAAAAATAGACCTGAATGTCATATTATCAAAGAAGTATACGGGCTGCCAAATAATGCCATCGCCCAACTACTCATACAATTTATTCAGCAACCACAAAGCCTGGATTTGAACCTTACGTTGCCATCTATTGAATCCTCTTACAAAACAAATTACAATACCCCCAAATATTTGGCATTCAGCCCTCACGAATACCAAATATTGTATAACAAAGAGCACCTCAAAACCGTTCCGCTCTTAACTTCTGTATTAGTTTCATACAAAAGTTCTTTCCCTACAGAAAGGGCTGCAGGGAATGCGTGAATGGTCCGGTTCGTTTTACCTCCATTTTTCTTGCGCCCTGACTTCAATAGAGAAGTTTCTTTTCTTATGTGCTTCATACTTTTCGGTATAGCTTTTCACCATTCGATTTGGATTTCAGTGTAACCCCATTTCTGAAGCAACATGGAAGGGAAATATACAGACAAGGTAAGGATATGTTACATGTATTTGATCGGATAAAACCCTTTTTAATCTACATCTGAGATTTCGATGGAGGGGAGGGCATGTGTTATAAGAATTAAGAGAAGGTAATTAATAATGTGGTAAGAATGATGATTATCGTCAAAGGAAAAAAGAAATAAAATCATATTGCATTTTCAGTTACTGTCCAGGAAAGGTTCCAACCCTCTTACGTCCTCTCTCTCTCTCTCTCTCTCTCTCTCTCTCTCTCTCTCTCTCTCTCTAATGTCTTTCTATAAACTCGCTGCAACCTGAGCGATGCAATGTATGTAAGTCCTTCTGTGTGCCAATATTGTATGAAAGTTCTCGTCACTGAATAATCTTAACTGTCTTGTTATCGAATTATTTTGCAACCTTAGTGCAGGGGCATCGCTCGCTATACTTAGAATTCGAAGAATGCTACAATTCGAGCCTGCCATTACTGTAATAACAATACATGAATACATAAACGATATTGTAACATGGATAACATTCCTTACATCAGGCCAAGATGAACGAAGGGTATGATGGTCCGTCCACATCGACATCGCCTCCATCAGGTAGTGATCGTCCATCGAAATCGGACGATGATGTAGTCAACGTGGACACGCATGTCAAGGAAGCTAGTAACGACATCGTTTACGATGGCGACCTCGAGAAAGGCGAAGGGAATTCTCGAGTTTGTTACGTGTGTCGTATCGTCAGTGTTCTGGCGTGCATTGCCATCTCAGTCTTCATGGTCGTCTGGTTCTCGGCAATCGAAGGTAAAATTCTAAACCTAATACCCCGGTCATACCGACGAGCAGGCGCGGATCCACGGGCCGATTCTACCGGCCCGGCCCCCTCCCCCTAGCCTCCCAAACCGGTAAAAAAAGAGGATAGTACCGTAACTTTTACCTTTTAAAAAAACACCCAAACGCCCCCCCCCCCCAACCCTCCTGACCTGGCAATGACATAAATGCGGCCTCAAAATATTTGTGCTTCTCTGACCGTAATTAAATGCCTAAAAGTCCTGAGCTTCCGGGGTTTCCGCCCCCTGAATCCCCCTCACCAATTTACGCTCGCTACCCTCACTATGAACATGACTGACGAAGAAAGCGGACAAAATATACAGTTCCTCGGGTAGACAAAAGAACATCCCTTCACCGCTATTATGTAAAAATGTGTAAAAACAGGTGTCACATGCATATTCACTTTTTACATAATAGCAGTGAAGGGACGTTCCTTTATCTATCTGAGGAACTGTATATTTTGTCCGCTTTCATTGTCCGTCATATTCATAGTGCCTCTACCTGATCGTAAATACTTTAGCCCCCCCCCCCCCCCCCCCCCCCCCCCACTTTGATAAACGTTCCGCGGGGCCTGTGTATATAATAAATACGCATACAACACTGATCTTTATGATGTCTTTAACGTGACATATCTTCTTCTCCCCTTGCAAACGAGAAAGAAAACAAGGTCATTAAAAGGGATTAAGCGACAAATAATGATTGTGATTCAAATTGATGCGTATATTGTTTGAATAAGTAATGTAGATTCCATAACTCTCCTTCCTTTTCCTGTTCCTCTTCTTGCCACCGCTGGGCCGAGGTGCCTTGACTGCCTTCTTGGAGCCTTTCTTAGCAACTTGAGCTGTTGGAGCCATGATGAATTCACCAGAATCTTCTTAGTAAAAACAGCTTTTACAAATCTCAGCCATGCTTAACTGAGTTGAGACATTCCATTCAAATTAAAATACTCATTAAAGAATACACTTCTCCTAATCTGAAAGTAATCTTACAACACAGTGGCAGAATTGCATGGCTGAGATTTGTAAAAATCGTTTTTACAACGAAGATTCTGGTGAAAAGCATTGCTTATTCAAAAAAAATCCTTGCATCAATTTGAAATACAATGTTCATTTTGCGCATGATCCTTTTAAGTTTGATTAAATAACCTTGTTTTCTTTTTTGTTTGCAGGGGGAGAAGAAGCTATGTCACGTTAAGAAATCATAAAGATCAGTTGTATTATGCGTATATTACATTATGATAACAGAACAAAATGTTGATTATCAGAATGTAATTTTGGAATACCTCTATACAAATACCCGATCTTACTGTGCCGATACCACATTATCTTTAGCCCGTTTCAGTATTAGTTTAGAGCCAATAAAAAGTTACTATTCTTTATTCAGTTCAATAATGCTTTTCCTCAAAAATAGTTTCGCTATTTTTTTAGGGTTGAGACGCTAAGAAAAGGTTTCAAATGTACATTACACAAACCCTGAACCATTGCATAATGATGGTGGTTCTCTCTCTCTCTCTCTCTATTTAATCATAAGCATTATCAACTACATATAAAGCAGCAACAAAAAACGTAGGGCTATCTGGGGTAGGTGAAAGTGAGAGTTAAAAGGAATGTCATGCTAAAACGGAGCTTCACCCCCCCCCCCCCCCCCCCCCAAAAAAAAAAAAAAAAAAAAAAAATAGTGGTCCTCCTCCCCAGCATCCACCCCCTCCCCTCCCCCCGCTCATTCGCCGTTCGCCGGCTGGCTGATTTTCTCAAGATTTGCCCCCCCCCCCCCTCTTGCCGCCGGCTGGATCCGCCCCTGCCGACGAGACCGATGCCAGACCGACAAAAGACCGAACAAAGACTGACATTACCACAAATGGCCAAGTATCGGTCGGTTTGATTCGGTTTGGAGTCGGATTTGCTGACTGACGCATTATACCTCAGGGCTCAGTCACATCTATGAAACCGATGCCAAACCGACAACAAAGACTTTCTTTACCACAAACCGCGAAGAATTAGTCGATTTGTAACCGGTTTGGAGTCTTTTTCGTGGTGTGACTGGGATATTATAACTGAGTAACATCTACGAAACCGACAGACCGACAGCAAACCGATCAGAGTCTGGCTTTACCACTGATACCCAAGACTCGCTCGGTTTGAAGTCGGTTTCGCGGTATGACTGAGATATTAGAGACCGTAAAAAAAACATTTTGGGTCGGTTTGACCATTTCCAAAACGATCCGTTAAAGAGGAAGTCCACCCTGTTATTAACTTGGTTTTAATAGAAGCAGAAAATGAGAAGAAACAGGTCAGTGAAAGTTTGAGCAAAATCAGATTAAAATAAGAAAATTATATATAATTAAGTTGCGATCAATCAATCAAGCAACGTATTTTGCGAGGTTACCCTTTATTCATTGTAAAAAAAGGATTAAGAAATGTCTCATTCCCTCTCCTTTCATTTCTCTCTCTCTCTCTCTCTCTCTCTCTCTCTCTCTCTCGCTCCATCCCCTTTCGATCATTATATCTGTCTATCTGCCTCTGTCTCTTTCCCACCTTTATCTCTCTCCCTCAATAATATCTTATCCACCTTCATCTCCCTCTCTCTCTCGTTTCAATCATAGCTGGCCTCACTCGCACTCCATCAGTGGAAATGTCGCCCCCAGACAATCCTTAACTGGTCAGCATGTATCATCTATACGTCATTGCAACAGATACCTTATACCACTCATCTGTACCTGTCGCAGACATCATGGCAATAGTGGCGTGCATAGTACACCAGTAACCGTGCATATTAATGGAAAAGAAAAACTAATTATTATATTCAGTTGGTTTGATAATTAATTGACTGACTAATCAATCAACTGATCGATTGATCGATGGACCGGCCCATTATTGCAAATTATGATGTGGATGTAGACGTTTGTCCGAGAGTCTGCTTGATTTTTTTTGTTACATAAGTTTTGTTTTTCTGTCCAGGGATTTATTAATTTATGGTTTAAATAACCAACTTTTCATTTAATTGATTGGTAGATTGATATACTGATTGGTTGATTGGCCAGTTTTAGGCTACTTGGTTAAATTGATTCATTGATTGATTGTATTGATTGATTGATTAATCGGACCGGCTTAGAACTTGATTAATCAGACCACTCACGAGTTTATTGACGGGTTTTATTGACTGATTGATTCATTGAAGAAGATGGTCAGGTTGATGAACGCATTAGTCCATGACCTCGTTAATTTATATGCATATAACCTGATTAGACAATGATAAACGAACTTATGCATGTAAATGGTATACGAAAAAGCACAAAGCCGGTATAGACTTGATAGCAAGGACTTTCGAAAAAATTAGCCCTATTGTAATTTCAATACCCTATAGCCTTATCCCATAGATATCATATTCAGATTACGTAATACTTAACGCACATTTCAAGAGGTTATGGGCAAGGCTTTTGAAATTGTGTTTGTAGTATAGGCCTATCAGCATATTACCTTTTTACTGTCATCATTGTTGTTTTGTAAGAGGAGATCATTCTCAAATAGATCTCTGCTACACAATGGATACACCTTGGTTAGGTATTGTTTGATTTTATTGTTCTGCATGAAAAACATATATTCATATACACATATGAACATAAAGACGGCTGATTGCTCTATTCAGAGCCAAAGATTTGATGACTCTGTTCTTCTCAGAGGTCAAGTGTCCACTATAGTATATTTGTAAAGCGCTTAGAGACATTTTTATCAAACGCTATATAAAAATTAAATATTATTATTATTATTATGTGCAGTAATCAACAAGGTGATTACTGTCACTCATGAAGAAGAAGAGGCATGGATTAATGATCGACATTTCTAATCATGAGTGAAAAAGAGAAAGAAAAAAATGAAGAAATGGGCTTGGTTAAAAAAAAGAAGATAGATGTAGAGAAATATAAGCATGATAAGACACCCTTAATTTATTTAATAAATATGAAAGAAGCTCTGTATTTTCGAATTTATTTCTTTGTTCGCAATTAGTAGACCTATTACCTGTTTCGGTTAGCTCTGTATCTCCTATACACTGATAGTTCTTTGCCTTTGAAAAACACTATGTTCATGGTTCGTTGATCAGCAGCCTTTCGGGGGCAGTCATGAATATCGTCCAATTGTCGTTGCGTTCCCGTAGATCTTTTTATAATTTGCAAATTGGGTTAACAATTCATGAGTTAGTATAATCATGGTGACTGGGGGGTAATATCAATGATGTTTACTCCGTTTCTCATCCAGAGGGAGGACTGAATAAATAAAATAAAATTCTCCTATTTGCGCCAGCTCGGTGGTTTTGTAAAGGAAAGCGATCAAATTTTCAAATGTCAATGTTCCTGTCCTTGGATACGTTCAATTGGTATCTCATTCATTATTTACGAGCTAGGAAAAGGATGGATGTTGTAGATACATGTATATTACTGTGCACAGAACTGGAATCATACAAGGCTCATCATTCTGCGGTATGCTTGGTAAAGATGATTCTCTTCTATTTTTAGGCACGTTGTCTCATTGTGTGGGAGGGATCTATTTTCTTAATTAGGTGAGGATGCCCTCAAATGTTTTATTCTCGTATTTCTGTACCGTTTCTGTATCATTCCTGCCCCTCTTTATCCCTACTTCTCTCTCCTTCCACCTTCTTCCTTCATCTTTCTCTCTCTCTCTCTCTCTCTCTCTCTCGCTCTTTTTTTTTCTTCTCTCTCTCTCTTCATCTTTCTTTCTATCTATCTTTCTCTCTCTCTCTCTCTCTCTCGCTCTTTTTTTTTTCTCTCTCTCTCTTCATCTTTCTTTCTATCTATCTTTCTCTCTTGCTTTGTTTCTTTCTTACTTTCTTCGTTTGATTTTACCCAATGTCTGTCACATCGCTCATATATTTCCATCGGCCAGACGTATTCAGTGCTTCCGTAAAGTTATATAATTATAACACAACATTAATATGTGTACGTTTTCCACTAATTAATAGGGACTTTTAGATTCGCACGAAGACAATAGGTCTATGCTACGATCGACGTCCTTATAAAGCACTGCCTTGAATGGAAGTACCACGTATCAGTTCACGCAAATCTAAAAGTCCCTAATGAATTTTCATGAACTATACAACGACACATTTGAGGAAGGTGAACTGTTTGACAATTGACATTTTATTCACTTTAACATAAATGTCTAGGCCTTTGCGGCCAAATTTGATTGATTTCAGTGCAATCAGTTATAATGGTATCTGTGTTATAAAATAGGAAATTTGATTTTTCCCGTTATGTGATGTCAAACTGATTGTAATGCTTTATCTGCAACTCGTAATAACTCTTGAATAACTAAATATCAATTACTATTTTTACAAAACTAACTTCTACGTTCTATGTATAAACCTCTTATAGCATCTCGTCGACACAAAGAGTGTTGATCTCTAATTCTTCGATATAAATCTTACAAAATTTAAAGTCCAGTAATTTCGGAGAACTATATTTACAATTACTAGAGCTATAGTTTATTAAAAGAAGAGAATATGAATTCATGTATACATAATACAACGATCATATATTGAATTAATTTGTATATTTGTTAATTATGATAAACATGTTGATTTTGTTGAAAAGGAAATGAATAAACCGGAATTTGGAAAATGAGCAAAACTCTATATTATTGCTTGATTTGTGAACCTCGTCTTTATTATAAATTGGCTCAAAAAAGCCAATCATAATTTGTATATTTGTGAAAATTGAATGGAATTTACCCTCTTATTACTTATAATAACCCCCTCTTCATGTTACGCGCTTTACAATTAACTGACAGTATCATCATTACCTCGGTCAGTGAATTCGAGTACTCTTCTGCACATTACAGTGCACATTCTCCGTTCCCTCCGGAGCATTCCAAATAGTCGCCGTTTTATGGGTGCGCTCATGCTAATCCTACCACAATGATGTTCGCATACGACCCGGTAACCAATTAACAGAGGAGAGGAGTAGTAGAATGCCTCACTCAAGGACATGCACACTTACATGCTTAATGATATTTACGCATAGTATTTAGAAAGATATCGCAGAAGAACTGCCTCAGACTACTACTTCTACTACTACTACTACTACTACTACTACTACTACTACTACTACTACTACTACTACTACTACTGCTGCTGCTGCTGCTGCTGCTGCTGCTGCTACTATTACATCGTCAGTCTCATGTCTTGCGTGGTCATTCATGTATATCTCACTGAAAATGAATAGTAAGAACAGTACTATGCATTTTTGGTATGGCGCCATCTATCTAGAAATGCTATTCCGCGGTGCACAAGGAGGATATAATGTAGGTGCATAAGTGTCATATCCCCATACTGAGCATTGATTTAAAAAAAAAAATCAACTGGGCCTTTGAAACTCTCTAATGGTGTTATAGTTGTCATCTTCAAAAGGTAATTTGTTCATGAACAGAAATGGTGCTACGGCCGAGAAAGCAATTTCGCGGCAGGCGATTCTTGTCCTTGTGATATGAAGCAGATGTTAATGTGATGATCTTAGACTACGAGATGGTGTATGAGGTAAAATTATATCTTGAGCGTGGATCCGTTTACGAAGGATACCGTTTTTATTCATATCTTCTTGTCTATTAGTCACTCGGCGTTCCATTCCGTTGATTTATGATTTCAGTCACGTTCAAAACAAAGAGAGAAATTCTTCATTCAGCATGTTAAGCAATCAGTGCAAAATAATAGTCTTTCAAATATAGCTTTTCTTTTCTTCAAATCGCGGAATCACATATTGCACGAGGCGTTGCCAGGGCTTCCTTTCGCTTGGCAATTGCTTGATTTAGCTTTCTCCTGGGACCCAAAGGCAGCTTGAGATCGAGAATATCTTGGTCCGTCAGAAGCTCCAGGGCTTTCATGTCAATGTCCTCATCAAAGAAGACAGGGATGTAATCCTCGAGATCATTGACAGTGAGGAAGAGTTCGATGGCCGACGATGACGCGTCGACGTCGTCTTCTAAATCGATTTCGAATTCCGCCCACATGGCCTGGTCGCCGCGGAAGACGGTACTGATGGAATCACCAGGTTTGGCCGTCCTGGAGTGATGGCTTCCGTTGTCTCTATCCAATGGCTTCCGTCTCTGTTTGGCTGCTTCTGACGGATCGCCAGTGGCGTCATCGATGCTGTTATCAAGGGTTGCTAGGGCATCGTCGATATCCACCGACTCGCCTTCCCTCGCTAGCGACATCATAGCGTTTGAGTTGCGATTCGGCAGCCAGAATCGCGAATCCTGGTAATTAGCGAGTGTCTCCCCATTCTCAGAGTTTTCGACGCTGCTCGAATCTGACGCCGGCAAACCCGTAGAAGACGTTCCGTCACCGTCGCCTCTTTTCCGATTTGACTTCGATGCTCCTTCTGATGGATCCGAAGCCATCAATGAATCCCGCTTGGTGACTCTCGAGTTCAGTACGTCGGAGAAGCTGGATTCTGAAATACCTTGGCTAGGGGTTTTGATGGTTCCACGGCCACTTTTGTTCTTGCTCTGTTTTTCATCCTTCTTCATCTGCGCCTCGTGTTCTTTCACCATCTTGTCGAGTTTCTTTACCCTCTCATCTGCGTCTTTAATGGCTTTCTGCTTGGCCTTTTGAACAACCTTCTTGTTAGTGGCAGCCTGTCTTCCTGCAACGTCATCCAAGACTTTAACGATCTGTAATAAACCACACACATAAAAGAATTATGTCACTCGTTTGAAAATAAATCTTCCTAGTCGTGACATCTCCGTTGGTAAAGGCGGTCGTACGACACATACTCCGACGACTCCGCTGTCTATATCCTACACTGACCGAATGTAACCCCTGGGCCAAACATTATATTTTAACTTAATAGCCCTTCATACCGTAACCCTAAATGCAACCTATAATCATAACCCTAATCGTAACCATAAAAGTAACCTAAAACCAACTACTTTAGTTTATGCAATTAAAAGGATTTAAGAATCCCATTTTAATAGCTCTTCATATTCAAGTCATTCGTAAAATTAAGCGTAACTTTACGCACAGCTTTATGAACCCCCCCCCCCCCGGTCTGTATAGAATGATATATGCCACAAATATGTTTAGGTCTTTTTAAAAGCAGAATAAATGTAATTGTTTTGTAATCTGAGGGCTGATCGATATGCACATGTGTGGATTGAAGCGGTAACATCATCATTCTCTAACCGAATTTAGTCTCAGTCCTCCTTCTTCGAATTAATTGGTTGTTGCTGGTGCCATTGATATGATAAGTATTGTTGATTATGCTGCTGTTGTTGTTGTTGTTGTTGTTGTTGTTGTGGGTGTTTTTATACTAGGATTAGCTATTGTGCATAACTCCCCCTTAACATTATTGTCAATCTGAGAGTAAAGGTTAATAGTAGTTCCGTGGTACAACAGGCAAATTCAGTGGCACATCCAGTAATTGATCAGGAGGGGGGGGGGGGGGGGGGGGGGGTCGCAATGTATTCGGGCAGTCCATGCATTACACCATTCATTTTGTTTATTGGCCTTTAACCGTGGGGCGTATGCCTGATATCCCCTTTATCGGATACGCCACTTGGAAATATTATGTTTGTGTTTTCGTTTTCGTTTCCTTATTTGTGATACCAAAAAGAACATTTGATGTGTATGGGTGAATCTGGAAGCGTCATAAAAGTATCCCAGTTCCCAATTTTTAAACCATTGTTACATATAAATCATACAGTAGTCAGTACTTATTTGATTTATGTATTTTATTCGATAAAGTAGAATTCTTCTCTTGAGTTTTACCTCGCCATAGCCTCCTTCCATAGCTAAAGTCATGGCCATTTTATAATCATTGTTCAGAGCCCACAGATTGCAGCCAAAAGAGACCAAGTACTCGATGACCGTACTGTGACCGTAGAGGGCGGCAAAGTGGAGCGCTGTGTGTCCTTGTAAATCAGCTTTGTCTGGGTCGCCCCTGGATTTAAAGAAAAATAGGAATACAAGATTGATTTCATTTATATATTGCCTTACTGGAGAACTTACATCACTATCTGGGGCGATTCGACCATTACGTCCCCCCCCCCACCCCCTTCTCTCTCTCTCTCTCTCTCTCTCTCTCTTTCTCTCTCTCTCTCTCTCTCTCTCTCTCTCTCTCTCTCTCTCGGGGGCTCAGTGAGACTTGAAAGACTCAGTCATAGTTCTTTTCACTCATAATTGTCTGACTCTTTAAAGTATTATGTACAACGCTTTGTTTCTCTCAAAGATATCACATTTTACGATCCCCAGACAAAATAATGATTACAAATTTGGCAAAGTGTTTTCCATTAGTATATAAATTTCATAAATTAACACACTGAATGCTTATATTACATTAGATATAGGAGGATGTGATCGTAGTCCTCAGATTATACTCATGAGGATTTATAACTTCAAACTTTATCTTTAGCTTTAAACTCCGGAAGCTTAACAAATAAAGTTTGTCAATATCTAAGAAATCGATTGATAAGATAGCTAAAGCAAACATTGTTTTAATGACATCAGCAACTACTGCACCATTGTATTATATAGATAGATAAATCAACAATCGGACCTAGTTGAGAGACTTGTTCACCTCTCACATCACGTGATTGATCGGAGTTGCCGGCTCTTGAACAAGGAATTATCTGCTTCCAAAATACTTCTACATATACAATTCCCAAGAACATCGTGCGAACAACTTATTAACTCCTTTAGTGAAGCCAGGTGCATGTAGCAGTTACAGCCTCCGGCCCCTCCCCAAAACACAAAAGCAATACAAACAAATAACTGGTATTTCACAGGCGCATCTAAGATTGGTATGGTAGTCAGTATTCACTTGTCACATGACTGTGGGCCTATTATTAATTTCCTTCCCGAAAAAGCTTGGGCTCTGCCCGTTCCCTCCACCGCCTCTCTTTTAAAATAAAAACCGTTTTAATACTCTAATAAGCAACGCTAAGATAAATTCCACTACAAATATTTTGACACGATTTTGTCTTTTATAATTATGTTGACCAGACCCAACATATTTTAATAGACACTACATTATTTTACTGTACAGTCGTGATGGAATAAAATAACCTAGCTAGACCTTTAAACTAAACGGGGTGTATTCTCTACAGGCTGATCATAGGTCGAAGTCCTCTAATACTTCATCTAAGAAAAACATGTAATATCTCCCATGGCTAATACAACACCAATATTAATTTGCCAAGAACTGCTCTCAAATAAATATTGACATATAATGGCGTCAATTCATATTCAAACATAACATAATACTGACTAACTTCAAAAATATACATATAATATAACGGGGTTTTTTTTTTTATTGTGGGAGGCCCTCGCTCTCGTCGTTGTAAAACACATTTAAGGCAAACCATTAAAACGAAATCTACGTTCATAGGCACCGCAGATAATGAGGGGGCAGGGAACACGTTCCACCCATGCTCCTCTCGAATGCTTTTCTACTCACTAGCTACATTAGCCTTAGACAGGGCGCTGAACCCCGCCCCCATTGAATGACAAGGGGTTTTTAAGCAAAAAGAGGAAAGACAGAGAAAGACAGAGGTGTAAAAAAGCATGAACATTAAACCTTAGTTTAACTAGGGGACAAATGCAGCAGACATATTAAAATACAACAAATTAAATGCGCATATAATGACAGAAATATGACAACATTTACATGGTTTTTGTTTTTGTTTTGTTTTGATTTCAGTTTTTTAACATAAGAATTGAATTGTTCAATCGTATTATTAAATATTCTATACATATAGCAAAATGTACAAGGAAAAAATTACTGATTTTTTTTTGTAAAGATGCAATATATCTTTTTGTTAAAAGCACTTCTGCAACGCATGTTGTGGTTTGTAGTATAACCTTCTTAAAGGGGAGGTCCATCCCGGTATTTATGAAAAGACAAGTAATAGTGAATATTTGAACAATATCCGATTAAAAATAGGAAAGTTATGCATTTTTAGAAACAAATTGGCAACACTTTGACTCATCTTGTGAGCTCCTCTCCAATTTGCATTGTAAAGAAAATGTATTTCGTTTTCTAAGTTATTGATGATGGAATGTATTTGTTAATCCAGGGGTTATACGAACATAATATGCAATAATTATACTTGGATGAGTGTATGATTAAAAATTATCATAAGGGGAAATATTTGTTTGTTGCAGTTGTTTGGTTCAGGGCAAATGTGAGGGAACCTCGCAAGATAAGTCAGAGTTGCTAATATGTGTTTGATTGATTGTTCCTTCGAAAATTCATCACTTTCTAAATTTTTTAATCTTTTTTTGCTCAAACTTTTCCTGACCGGTTCCTCTCATTTGTCTGCTTCTATTAAAACAAAATTAATATCAGAGCGGACTTAGTCACATTGCCAGCCTGACTCCAGACCAACCGATTCTCGGCCATTTGGAAGGGGGTGGTAGCGGTGGTAGAGTATGTTGTTCCGTTGCTCGGTTTGTTGACGGTCTCGTCGATGTGACAGGGCATTGGGTGTTACCGTGTTATACAGTATAAATAGGCTAACATGTGGAATCTGGCTAGTCATATACAGACTGACTTTAGGGAATGAATCCGGTATTTCCCATCTGCTGACTAATTCATCTGCTATCACCATGTAAATATTTGAAGATGGATTGGGGAAAATGTGGATGGTTGGAAAATAGATGACACACGGGAAATAATCACAATGGCAAACTAACCAATAGGTCAGCACGTAGAAATAGGTACTGTAAAAAGTCGATGGGATGAATACTGACTTAGTATATATACATGGTATAGCACAGGGGCGTACGCAGGATTTTTTCAAAGGGGGGGGGTTTTAAAATATTTTGCTCCCGAAAATTTGAAAATCGCGCCAGCCGAAAAGTCGCTCAGTGGGGGGGGGGGGGGGGGGGGGGGGGGGGGGGGGGGGGGGGGGGGGGGGGGCGGACACTTTTTTTTTTTTTTTTTGGTCTCAAAATTTCAAAATTTGACATTTTTTTTTCGTTGGGGGGGGGGGGTAAGGTCACCTTATTTAGGTTAGCCGTGGGTATAATTTTTTTTTTTTTTTTTTTTTTTTTTTTTTTTATAATAAAAAAAAAAAAAAAAAAGCCAAAGGGGGGGGGGGGGGGGGGGGGGGGGGGTTTCGGTTTTTTAGGGGGGTTTACATACATTAAAATTCCAAGGGGGGGGGGGGGGGGGGGGGGGGGGTAAGCGGACACTTTTTTTTTTTTTTTTGGTCTCAAAATTTCAAAATTTGAAAAAAAAAAAAAAGCCAAAGGGGGGGGGGGGGGGGGTTTCGGTTTTTTTAGGGGGGGTTTACATACATTAAAATTCCAAAGGGGGGGGGGGGGGGGGGGGGGTAAGCGGACACTTTTTTTTTTTTTTTGGTCTCAAAATTTCAAAATTTGACATTTTTTTTCGTTGGGGGGGGGGGGTAAGGTCACCTTATTTAGGTTAGCCGTGGGTATAATTTTTTTTTTTTTTTTTTTTTTTTTTTTATATAAAAAAAAAAAAAAAAAAAAAGCCAAAGGGGGGGGGGGGGGGGGGTTTTCGGTTTTTTTAGGGGGGGTTTACATACATTAAAATTCCAAAGGGGGGGATTTGTACCCCCAAACCCCCCCCCCCCCCCCTGCGTATGCCCCTGGTATAGCAACAGCATTTCAATCAAATATATTCATGGGCAGTAGCATTGCTAGACAAAATGGGGATGTCCGACCAAATTCGCTTGCAAGTTAGCCGAAAGTTTCCAACAAGTATAAAGAAAATGGTGTTTCCATTTTTTTAAATAGCCGACAAAGCTCGAAATATTGCACATTTGCCGGTATAGAACGATTGAATTACCCCTACACAGTGCCACTGCGTTTTTCTTGCGACGTCCTATAATGTTGAACACAAAATTTTAGAAAAATGTTATTCCCGGGTGTGTTCTTTTGCTTAATAGTTATCTGCTGCTGTTTAACACCCCCCCCCCCACATCCGGATCTGGCTATATTTGTAAACCTTGTGACATTAAACAATCAGTCATTATTCAATACAATAATACCAGCACCATTCAGTCAAGTGCGTTATCATACAGAGCAATTCTAAACACCAAAAACCCAGACATATAATTTCGTATCAATGTTTCTTTCACGTGTGAAACATTAAACATTTAAATAAATGGCAATCTATTCAGGGTTACCGTACTCTTTCAAAATAAATTCTCTAATTTTCATCTGGTGTTTGTATAAATTTCCATTTGCAATACTTTGCATTCTTTTTTAATTTGCTTGTAAAATGTGAACAAATCAGCTAATGGCTGCTAATCACGCTTTGTATTATACCATGAATAAATAATACATAACATGCCATAAAAGATAACAATGCGCTTTTAAAAAAAACACCGTACATGCCCTTCGTACAGTTATTAGACACCTATCCACAATATTTCTTAAACTAATTGTTTAATACAAAGTGTGCTTGGTAAGTACACAATGGAGGCCAAAGTCCTTCTCGATAGCTGTCTATGACATAGCAGACTACGTCTGGCTGTATAGATTTTACGCTCAATGCCTCAGCATATAATATATCGATGTAATTTTGTTTTCATGCATATTGTAAGCATTTATCACATCTCGATCATTCACAAAAATTAATGCAGTATAAAGATTAAAGTTCAAAAGCTCGTCAGTGCCCTGTTTCTTTCCTCTTCACATCTTTTCATATATCATAAAACTATATGTACTTTCAACTATCATGTTTCACACGCATGGTCCATCTCTATGTTTCCCAAGAGCCATGTCACGATTATTGATATATCTATTTTACTGCAAACAAGCTGATTTACGACATCAACGGTAGCTAGAGATAAATATCACACTCCTTTTTATATTGCAATATGGACGATATAATGAGCCGTTCCCATCTTGGTTAAACTTTCATTAAGAAGAATATGAATATTGACCAATTCTCTTTTCGTCTTGAAAATGACATAATATTGAATGAAGTCTGGTGTAAGATTAAATAGATTCATGTCGATATTTTCTTTAAATAAATAGCCCTAAAGAAAGTGGAAGGTCTGTGCCTCTGTGCCCATTTTCTACTTCTAAAGTAGAGAAAAGATGTAATCATAATCTCACTCAAGCGGGTGTTATCAAAAGAAACTTTGATCATATATTTTAATGTTCTGTCTATATGACATCTTAAGGGTTTTAGTGCATGTTAATATCCGAAAGCAATTATAATTATGTCTTTATGGAAAAAACCTCCAGTACACGCTGAATGGTAAGACAAACTATTTGCTCAATATTATCAACGCCCAATACTTTAATGTCGATTAACTAGCATTATATTTTGTATTGGAGCTCATTAATCTGTTCATAGTCGAAAGTGTATGGTTCAAAAGGTTATCTATTCCCTACCCAAAGGGCTCATATTTCAGGTTCATTTCTGTTAATATATCACGAATATCAAATATCATAAATGTTTTTCGATTACAATCAATGTTTCATGATTGTGATTAATGCCCCCATCTCTTCCTCCCCTAGCCCCCCCCCCCCCCCTCTCTCTCTCTCTACCTCTCTCTCACTCTCTCTCTCTCTCTCTCTCTCACTCTACCTCTCTCTCTCTCTCTCTCTCTCACTCTACCCTCTCTCTCTCTCTCTCTCTCTCTCTCTTTCTGACAGAAAGCTATATAACTTTGAAAATGGAGCCCATTTTATCAAAAAACATTATCTTTTATGACATCAAAGGTAGCTGAAAATGAAAATCACACTCTTTATTCTAAACTTCCCTATAAAAACTTATCTCTTATAAGTGTCTAAACGCGATGGTATTTTACTTTGGGAATTTTATTGGGCACTTCTCATTGGGTATATGCGCATAGATAACCCTGAAAATATAGCAAAATCTCTGAGCTTAACATTATGAGTGAATCACTGAAAGACAGTAAAGAGTATCTTTGGGTCCCCTAACCAAATTTCGGTTGAACAATTCAGCCTCGATTTATCAACATCATTTCCTCCTAAAATGGTAGCATTTTAGCTTCAGCTTATGTCCTTTTCTCCATCTCTTTGGGCTTGTTATATTCGAGGGAATATTCTCCACCAAAACAAAACTAATCTTACCTTCGTGTTAACGTGCCTATAACATAAATGCTTTTGACAGGGTCATGATAATTTTCACTTCATTGTGAAGAATTTTCATGTTCAAAGCTTAACCATGTCATTGTCTGTGCAGCGTCATAAATAATATTGTTGGCAGGTAATGTAGTTAATATCTAACGCGAAGCGCCATAAACTCCTTTCGAAAAGAAAAAAAGAGTATCCAATGTTTTCATATTTACATCAATATATTTCACAGTGCCCTCCTACGTGAGTAGACGTATTGATCAAGCATGTTAATTATCAAATGCAATAAAGTTGAATTTAATGTATAACACTTTGACATGGTCGTGATAGTATTACTACTCAACTCTGCCTTATAATATGTATATCTATAACTTTTCCGAACGAATTATAAATCATACGTCAAATACTCAGTATCAATTCTTAATGCTCATTTATAATTAGGATTATTAGAAATATTCTCATTGTACCATCGTATATATAATCCTAAAACCATAGATCTATGTCAACCACATTTCCTCTATACATCTCATAACTCTTTCAGCAGCAGAGAATATCATATTTACTTTGTTCTTCATCAGCTCCTTCCTTTCTCATTTCCAAATCCCCAAAACGGGCTGGTTTTTAATCATTTTAGTCAGTGGCCCCACATCTACATTTCTAAGAAATAGTATTTTATTTGACTTCTTCAAAAATATATAACATACCTATTCTAAATGTGTCCTTAGACTGAGGAATATCATCTTGTTTATATTCCTCACGTTGTTTCCTCTTGATATATAAACCTAATCACTATTATCATTATTATTATCATTATTATTATCATTATTATCATCATCATCGATATTATAATTATTGTAATCATCAATATTATCCTTATTATCATCATTTTGATCATCATTATTTTAATCATCATTAAATATTATGTATGTGTTGTGTGGGTTAGCTGTCAATTCAACATAAATGGTTATAATGATTCGACTCTTGTAAACATGTTGCTGCAGTTGTAACCATTTTATCAGGTCCAAACAGTTTAAAATAAGTTGTTGCCTTAAAAAGGCCACTCCACTGCGATGTATTTGCCTGATTAAGTTTGTTAAGAAACGAATCGCGTCAAAACAAGTCATTCAGTGGTCTCAAATATCAGAAATCGATATGCTGCGAGGACGTGTTGTGGACTGTATGACTCAAACACACGGGAACACATGTAGGATTCAACTTTCTAACGCGAAATCAATGTTTACCGGTTAAAGGGATACTATGAGCGTGCGCGAATTATAAAGTGATGACATGTAGAGCAATATAAATATATATGTGATGATCCCCCCCCCCCACCCACCTTCCCCCTGCTGGCGAATCCAGCATAAGGTGAAGCATGGTACCCCCAGTCCCATCCAGTCCCACCCAACCCCCAATCCGGCTTCAAGACACTGGTAGTATACAACTTGAAATAGGGAGTATCCACGCCCGCATCCCCGCCCCCCCCGGCCCCATCAGTTTAGCGATTTATGGATATGCAATTGACCCAATTTTCCCTTTCCCTCTTTCATTGTGCATACTCTCTAGGTCATTACATCAAACGTTTCATGTTTTGTTCTATATCAATTTTTCAAAGCTAGTCTATGAATATTATCTGCCACAAACAGACATACCGCCCCCCCCCCCCCCAAAAAAAAAAAAACACCCATCACCAAAACGACTTCCCCATCTCTTCATGACCATGTCATTGTGTGGACCTGCCATAGAGGGGACACTAGCATCATCCTCATTGGGGACACGTCTACCCCATAGTGAATAAAATATAAATCAATAAGGCCGTCGATTAAAGAGGGGGAATAGGAGGGAGCTTATCATATTTGTTGTCTACATTTCTTTTCCACTTCCATTTACCTCTTCTATATTAATCTCTCTCTCTCTCTCTCTCTCTCTCTCTCTCTCTCTCTCTCTCTTTCTCTCTCTCTCTCTCTCTCTCTTCTTGCCCCGTGCCCCCTGAAGCTACGCTACTGCATGGTCATTAATACATACCCTCTGCTAACAATCAACCGAAGTGCATCGATGTGACCGTTGGTTGCAGCCCACAGTGTCGGGGTCATGCCCGTCTCATCGGCCCGGTTGCAGTCTCGCTTGGTGGCCTCACGGAGGGGGTCGAGATGCCCTTCTTTCGCGGCTGCGTGGAACTTCGTAGCCATGGTCAGATTCACGAGATCAGTGACGACGATGACGATTATGGTTGAGACAATACGATAATGAGGATAAATGATCGTTATTCTCAATTCTTGGTACCTTACAAGATGAAACGACCTTGTTGAAGCCCAGGCGCAATTGAGACGCGTTGTCCGGTTCCGATCGCTCCTTCTAAAATGAATGATTCCAAGGCAATATTCTATTCTCCTTGGCCTAACTCATCACAGGGAGTGTTGGCACGATGGTCCTCTCAAGAGACTACTATTAGATGCTAATATAACCTCTAGAAGTGCTTTTATATATAAAATGCCGCCAACAGGCTATAGCACGAGTAGAAAATATCAGAAGTCAACAAGACGAGCGATCGGTAGAATAATATCACCCGCAGCCCATGCAAATATACCTCGATTAAATATGAATTATACGGATCTATGGCCGCAGACTAGGAGGGTACAACGTGTGGGCGTCACTCATGTAGACTTCGCCCCCATCTCAAGTCGAACAACCCTTCAATCACCCGCGCTTTGGTACATAGATGAGATATTGAACAACGATGAGATTCAATATTCATAATCTATATAAGCAACAGAGGTCCATGATGTACCCATTAATCAAGACAATGTGAGCATTAGACTTTTAGAGCGGTTCCGTCGTTTGATTGTTCAGATACTTGGATCGTACTCGCAAGTTTAGGACCGGTCACACAAGACGGTTAGGCCATACGATAGACATGACCGATAGGCCTACAGCAATGTTCGCAAGAAAGTCCGTATGGTTTCGGTCATGATTTTTAACTTCGAGGTTATCGTGTAGATATAGTCCATGCGGAAACGCTTGGGCTTTTACTCCAAATGTTTAACCACGAGCGATTGTGTGGTAAGTGCGATTAGGGGTCCTAGATCACTCGAAATAGGTGATATGCGAACTCAATTAATCACTTTGAGGTTTCACCAGCTTGTAATTAAACGACTGCTTGGCTGACTCGTAGTCTTGATACTTGTTGTATCGCTCCTGGGTGACCCTCGTCGTTGTTGATAGATCATTGGTATGGCAAACTTAAAGTATGTGATTAAAACTAAAGAGGTTCCGTATGAACATAGCTATTAGCAATAGTAAACAAATAATACACAGCAGTGAGGCCATTAGTAAGAATTACCCACACAAGGTACCTTGGAACAGTCTAACACGCCTGAGGCGATAGCCGAGGGTATTTTGAAGGTACCGAGTGTGGGTAATTTTACTTATGCCCAAACAAAATGATATCCATTATTTGTTTTATAAAATAATATTTTATAACATGATTTTACTAATGGCCGGTCATTATCAAAATTACGTGTTAGGCAAAATAAATGCCTGGTCACGTGTACGCTCTTAACCAATCTCGCTTGCACAGTGAAAAATGATCCACGTCATCATCTTGTAAAACCTGAGAAAATCGCCCTGCCACTGATGCCAGCAATGAAATCGATCCGAGAAACTGGTGCTGACGGCAAGATTAGCTCAGAGATAGGGTGGAATACGTGACTCTGAAAATGCATTAACTTTGAAATAATTTAGCTGTGTAGAGAAGCAAGTGGGAAAGGTGTGTTGTAAACGGCATAAGAAATAGTGTATTCTGTGATGTTTCAAACCCATAAATGAAAAGAAATTGATTCAATCTTGCGGAAAAGTTATCTGGACTGCACACAAAAATAGGTATAAGCCATATTGGACTACACACACGGGCATGGAAGTTTGGTCCAAAATCATACTTCGAATATGGGTCAACAGAAAGATTTTTTTTTCATAAGACATTCCTTTCATAATAACAATATCTTACCTTTAAAATCAGTGAGATATGCAACACCAATATCTAAAAGCAATACACACTCCGCATTACCTCCGTCATCGTTATCCTCATCATTAGGGACTTTTTGATTCGCACGACGAGAACGTGGACCTCTATGTGTGACATCCTTTTATTGCAATGTGACGTCCTTTTATTGTCAGTGCCCGGCAGTGCCTTAAAAAGATGTCACACGTAGCAGTCCACGTTCTCGTCGTTTAAATCTAAAAGTCCCTATTATCGGCTAAGTGGGACCTGCCCCTTAGGCAAATTGAACCTTTGTACGTCGCCCTCGCCCGTTATGTCTACAATAGTCATTATAGATTTTACGCGTTCTGCTCTTCAAAATACATGAGAGGGTGTTTTATACATAAAACAATGAAGTGATTGAGCATATCAATTAACGTCGTTTTTATCTTACGCATAGAAACTGTCTACTTTTCAATTGAAACACAAAATATTTCCAGTGAAACTCGGATCTTAAAATACGAGCATTTTCGTGTATAGCATATAGATTCAGGGCTTTGTCATAGTGTTTATCTGAGAGAAACGTAGATTTATTGTTTAATGTATCTCCAACAATTTCCTTTTTTTAAATGCAATTGGAGGGATATCAGTAGTGAAGTATATATTCCTTATATGGTGGTATTTTTCTCAGTGCGATAAAAGATCCTTAAAATGTATTTAACCATGTATTCTGAGAATGATGTCATCAAGACACGCCTATTTTTTTGGGGGATAACCTAGTTAGAAATGTCGTTAGATATCACTCCCATCCTGTTCAGAAAATTATATATCTCTCGATCAAACAGTGAACTAAATCCTAATGACCTAATGACCCTAGTCTAAAACCCAATAGACAATTTTCGCAATGTAACTAAATGTAATTAGGCATATGGCGTTATGAAGTGCACCAATAAAAATATATATAATTCACCTGTAATGAATACATGTAGTTGTATTTCACTATTCAGAGTTCAAAATACATATATTACGTGTTGTTAGGTAGGGTAACTATATAATGTCTGTCCTATACCTGTCAACAAAAGTGTATACAGTTCGCATTCGGACTATTGAAATAATTTTTAACGAGGCACTTCAAAAATGTGTATTAGATAGGTCACATTATGAAAATGTCAACCCTAGTCCCAATCCTATATACATATATCTTTGACGATATAAGGCCCGGATCTATCACTGCAGAGACTGTAGGGGCATTCACACCGACAAAAAAAGTGAGTTTTTGTCTGCGTGTCAAAATAACTTCACTAATCTTCGCGATTCGCATCGCAATCCAATTAGCACTTGCGATTTTTAAGAATAATTGCGATGGTTTGCCGGGCGCTGTGTGTGAATGGCATTGAGAATTTAAAAAAAAAATCGATTTATTTAGGATCCCAAGCTCACATACACCATCGAGATTCACGCATGCGCAGTTCGGACATTCTTGCCGTCGAGCGAGAATTCTCCCTGTGTGTGAATAGACGCCCCCCCCCCCCCCCAAAAAAAAAAATCAAATCGATCTTTGCATCGCGATTCAATTCGCACTAAATTGTTAAGTGAGAACGGGCTTACTATACTGCGCAATGTCATTTATTCGAAACTACACATCGATAAGACTGCTGGATAGGCCTACGTGTTCATGCTTTGGCAATGATTGTCTAAAATGCACAACGTTGGACGCCCATGTTTAAATGAACCAAAGGGGCTCATTCAACACATGATTGTGGAGGAACGGGTAATGAGGCTGGTTACGATCACTCATGCAATCACGTTGTCAGGTTTGAGCGCTTTCGTAGATCTAATCTGCGAGGTGTAAGGTTGACACTTCATGGGGCGGGGTTCTTACAGGCCGGTAAATTACGAGTACTCACGCATTTGTGAGTACGCGACGTGAAGGTTTTTGTACTCATCGTACACTTTATCACTTGAAAAATTAGAAATGCTTGTTATTGGGACAATTTATGTATAGATATTATGTATATTGATTAGAAAATTGAATTTATATTGCTTTTTTAAAAATAAGTTTACATGAACTCTTGTCTATCATCAGTTCCTTCGATGGAGGAAACCGGCCATTGACTTTCAAATAGAATCGACCTTTATGAAGGCGCCCGAAATCATGGCCAGTGAATCATGCATGAATCTTTTACAATGATAATGTTAACGAAATGTTGAGTCGCGTATTTAACCAAATACTGTGTAGATCAGACAGCGTGTTTTACGAAAATGCTCAAAAGGTGATAACATTAGTGATCGTCACCAGCATGAACTTGATCCTGTGAAGGGATTAATAATTACTACTCAATAAACACATCATACATAACATGTATACACAACAGAGTTAGAAATCAACTCAGAGCAATTAGACAAAAAACTAATTATAAGAATGAGAGATCAACAAAAAAGAGCAGATAGCATTATAATCTGTTGACCCCTAAATAAACAATACATTTATGAGTAAATCCGTACCAAGGAGTGGGGGGATGATCGGCGATAGCCATCACATACTAGCACTAGCACACGCCCACACCCAAACGCACATACACACACACACGCACACCCACACACACGCGCTCGCACACACACACACACACACACGCACACACGCACACCATGTATTTATGCATGTATTAAAAGTATAAAATGGTCTACGTAAGGGTTACATAAGGATTTATACAGAGAGGGAGTAAAAGGAAAAGCGAAAGAGAAGGAAATGGATAGGGAAGAGAGAAAATGACGAGAAATTAAACTCCTAGACCGCTTCCAATACCTCTTAGGGAAGTCAATTTAAATTTTCAGAGTAAAACCAGAGGTTGAGGTAGGGTTGAGGGGTGGTGGAGGGGTGGTGGAAGTAGGGGTGAGGGGTGGTGGAGGTAGGGTGGAAGTGTGGTGGATGTAGGGTGGAGTGGTGGTAGAGGTAGGTTGGAGTGGTGGTAGAGGTAGGGTGGAGGGGTGGTAGATGTAGGATGGAGGGGTGGTAGTGGTAGGGTTGAGGGGTGGTAGAGGTAGGGTGGAGGGATGGTGGAGGTAGGGTAGATGGGTGGTAGAGGGAGGGTGGAGGGGGGGGGGGTCGAGGTTGGGTGGAGAGGTGTTCGAGGTAGGATTGAGAGGTGGTAGAAGTGGGGGTGTAAGAGGTAGGGTAGATGGAGGGATGGTAGAGGTAGGGTGGATGGAGGGGAGGTAGAGGTAGGGTGGATGGAGGGGAGGTAGAGGTAGGGTGGATGGAGGAGAGGAAAGGTGGAAGGGGAGAGGAAAGGTAGAAGGAGGAGAGGTAGGGTAGATGGAGGAGAGGTAGGGTGGATGGAGGAGAGGAAAGGTGGAAGGAGGAGAGGTAAAGTGGATGGAGGAGAGGTAGGGTAGAGGGAGGAGAGGTAGGGTGGATGGTAAAGAG